AATTCTTTAGTAGGTGAATGCATAACTTAGTAACGAACACTTATGACATAGGCAATATCAGAGCGTGTCAGTGATAAATAGATCAATCTCGCAACCAACCTTTGATATCTTTCTTTGTTAGTTGAGACTTTATCCACGTAAACTCCAAGTTTATGATTCTCAAAAATAGGTGTATCAGCTGGTTTATAGTCAAGCATCCCAATATCTGCTAGCAGGTCCAGCATGAAACTTAAAGTGGAGCCTCACATAATCTAATATGAAAATCCTATAGATAAAAATTTGCCATAACTTAATGTCATAAACAATTTTTTTTTAAACTAAAAGTCACCATCAATACAAATGTAATAACAATTAGAAATCAAATTCATAAAAATTAAATGTTTCCATTTGATAAAGTTAAATATTAGTATGTTTGGAACAAAAATAAGCTCATTGTGCCCCTATAAGCTCCCTTGCTGCCTCTAATAAGCAATCTGTGTTTAATATGAAAAAAAATTTGGCAATCAGAAATTAAAGAGTAGTTGCACACAAATGTTATTAACAAATTAGATTATATTGCATTAAACACAAAAGCAACAACAAAAACATACATGACTATCCACAAATTGTTCACATTGTATTTGTTGTCTTTATTTGAAGAATTAAAACTATTATGAGAACTTTTTCCCCAAAAACACAAAACAAAAACACAACCAGTACAATACTAATGTCTGAAAATTGATCTTCTTGAATTTTTAGAAGAGAGATCATTAATCAAATGTTCATAATCAAGTTTTTCTAGAAGTTCACTTTCAATTGAAATCAAAACTGGTCCATTTAATCTTTCTTGCAACATATTTGATTGCAAGTATGATTTTAACAATTTTAATTTTGAAAAACTTCTTTTCTGCAGATGCAACAGTAACAGGAATAGCCAATAGAATTCTATATGCAATGAATGCATTCGGAAAACAATTTAATCTTTTCAAGAAATTTAATATTGCAGTAGCTGTGATTTTTTCTTTTAGACTGATATATTGTAAATTTTGAAACATATTAGGGGACACACTTAGAACCACACTTTTTAACACACCATTTAAATTATCGAATTAAGTAAGTTTCAATGATTAGAATTGCATTTGTTTAATGGGCAATCCTTTTCTTTCTCACATCATTCAAATTTAAAAATAAACATTGGGGACAACCTAGCAGCCCAACTTTTAAGACTATTAATTATTTTATTATATTCTCTCTCCCCTCTCTTCCTTTTTTTGTTTAATGGGCAATCCTTTTCTTTCATCTTCTATCTTCTTTCCCGCTACTTTCTCTGGCTATATTTTACAGTAGTTTACACACACACTCACACCCTCAAAACGTTTCCAACGAATTCCTTATTGAAAAGAGTTTTGTAGTTTATTTTCCTTCTTCATAACGTTTGGTCATGGTTGCTATAAAAATGCTAATAATATTAGCGTCCATGAAATTTAATGATTTCAAACAGTGAAAGAAATATAGATTTTCCCTAAAGTGACTCAACTCAACAATAGTGAATGGAGGTCGGGAACCACCCAAACACTGATTTGGGCATGAAATGAATTAGACTTTGAGTAAAGAATGACTTGTTAATTGTCAGTCTTTGTTTAATAAGCATTTGTCTAAGTCTTTGTTCACATATTTTTCGTAACAAAACATATTTTTAAAATCCGAATTGATACACAATACTCAAAAAGTACTTGACGCAAAGAGCAAACAAAAGACTGAAATTTCAAATTATTAAGGTATCATTGTCGATGATGGTAGGTATTAGGTAAAGTGCAACAAAATAAAAGGATTCGTTAATTTATAGGACTAACTCGTCAAAAACCAATATGTCTAAACCCCAGCCCCTTTGAGTCCAAGAAAGCCCGACCGGCTTATAAAAGCCTGACTGACGGGCTCACATACATATAAATAATATAATATATATATATAACTCAAGTTAAATGAAATATGGAGAAAATCATTATCTATTATCATTGTAAGAACTGAAAAAAAAATGAAGTATGAGATAAAATATGATTTTATAAATATGGGGTTGTATAACTATATCTTTATATTTATGGGGGAAAACTATGAAGTTATGAACAAAGAAAAAAAAAGGAGACATAAACATATTAACAAATGTAAATATAGAACTATGAAAAAGAGAGGAAACATAGAAACATACCAAAACATAGAGAAAAAAAATATTTAAAAAAAAGACAAAATAAAGTAGGCCCCATTTAGGCCCAGCTGGCCCGATGGGCTTTTTCAAGCCCGGCTCATTAGCTAGGCTTGGACTTTGAATTTTCAAAAAAATCCGGCCCAAAGCATTATTTTCTCTCTCCTCTTTAAAGTCCAACCCGACCCGGCCCATTGACGAGGCCTACTCCTCACAAGAACTTCTTACTGTCACTTAACTTCTTGACTTCTTAATTGATTACATTAATAAGTTTCATGCCCACTTATAAAAGTAGTAACCGACTTATGTAAGTCGGCTTTATATAGTTAACCCACCTTGGAAAAGCATCCCAGCCACAAGTTCAACCGACCTTGAAAATATCTTAAACGTTCTAGGAATTGTTTGGGCTGTTTGGTGTTGCTTACTTTGCAGGGTAGACTTCACTTGAGCATTCTAGATTTTTCTAGTTTTATTTGTGCATTATTATTTCTATGGGCTTGAATTTTACTTTTCTGGGCTAATTAATATGTTTGTGGGCTGGGGTTGATATTTTAACACTAATCTCCTTAATCACGGAAAAAGCATCAGGCTTGCACCAAAATTTGGATTGCGTGTAAAGCCTTGGAAGTCTTCTTTCTCCAAGCCTCGAACTGACAAGCGTTTTCTGGTTTAGGACGTTCAGCTGTACCCTACTTTACATCCCAAAGGCCTCTAGCCAACAAGTAATTTTTAACCAATGCACTCCAGTACTCATAGTTATCTTCGTTAAGAACTTCCACAACAATTGCATCGGCAGGAACCACAGGTTGCACCATTCTAAACGGCTTGCTATTTTTTTTGTTTTTATATTTAGGTCTCGGATAAAAGTTTACGACTCAGAAGAGTAAAGGATCTCATCTTAAAGTAGTGTTGGAAGTATCTCGAGTATACTAATATTCCATCTATTACTTATACCTGTTTACTCTTTTTTTATATTTGTCTTGTTGAAGACTATGTAAAATTCCCCACTAACCATTTAACCATTTAATGGTTTCCGAATTAATTTTCTTTATACGAGCATGCAACTGTTGGCAGATGATAAAATACTGTTGGGGGTTGAATGCATTCGTGTATTAAGAATCAGGCCTTTTCTTTTCAAGCTATTTGTACCCAATTTTGGTAAAAGGGCAAAAAATAGTCATATTATTTGAAAAATGCGGCCAGGCCCATTTGCACTCCTCCATCTCCCAAAAACCCCCCACTTTCGAGTCTAGGCCTGTCTGAAATAAATAACTAAACAAGCCCAAGGTCAGAAAAGTCAGGCTTTAACCTTATGCTACACGACAAAAAGTGATGAGTATGACTAGACCCACGTGGGAGGCCGAAGGAGATTATCACATTAAATGGCGAATGGACTTCTTGCTCGCCCAGCAAGAAAGCACGATGTACTTAAGCCCCCAAAACCAGAAGATCAAAATCGCCAGCTAGGTTTTTAAAGTTCGAGAAAGTCAAATCAAGAAAACTCCACAAGAAAGCTGGCGGTCCTTACCAAGAGCCCTCCATCATTCCCTCTATAAACTGGTTTAGAACAGCAAACCAGCAGCTGATCCCGAGTTACAAACCAGAAGTCTTGTCGAAAGTGCTATCATTACAAGTTCATCCTCCCTTATAAATAACAAAGGTCTACTTCAGGAAAAGGGGACTCTCTCTCTCCAAAACCAGACGAAAAGTCTTCAAAAAACTCTCTCAAAATCATAATCTGCTTACTTTGTTCTTAAGATATCCAGTCAGCAAAATCTGTTATTATCTCTCGTAGCTCTTCTATCACCATGGTATGATTTTCTTTTCATAGATAAACTGTTTCAATTCATGTAATCTCAGGACTGGATTGAGAAATCTCCAGGTCCTCTTGTTTTTCTTCATTTTTATTTTTATTACTTGCTTGTTCAGATATAAGGGTGAATTGATGAATCAACCGATGAATTTTCTGTTGTTTAATTTGAGATTGCAAATAACTCACAAATTGCAGAAAACTTGGTAATTAATTAATTAACCGATAATTTGATAAAACAAGTTTTGAATCATTTTAAGAAAACGTCTAAAATTGGATTCCCGCCTCCCTGAAATTTGAAAGCCCAAGAAATTGATATTCGGGCCCGATAAGAACAGGAGCCTGAATGATACAGTAAAAGAAGGGATAGGAGGTCTATTTGGGTCCGATTACTATGCGCAAGCCCGAATAGTTACTAGTCGAGTCCAAAACGGGAAAATATTGAAACAGATCAATAAAACCCAAGCAGGGTCTTTACCGATCATAAAACTTGGTCTTCCTCTATTACCTGATCAGGTGTTGCTCGCACTAGGGTAATAATCACCAAGAGAAGAATATTCAAGTCCTCCCAGCATAGGTAGAGAAAAGAATCCATCCAGGGCAGCACCCCCCCTAGAGCACAATAGCCTGATAAGAAGTCCAAAAAGAAGGCGCAAACTTCACAAATATCACTCATAAATGCTCATACCAGATCTATTGGGCTGGTTGTTTATCCAATAGTGGCATGCCTACGCTACAACAAAATCAGTAGCCTCAGGAGCTGTTCGACAGGACTTCGGGCTCTGATAGCGAGAGATTGAAAAGATCACCCTCGCAAAGCCAAGAGACACCATCCAAATGGGGCACAACCTGGTGTTAATCCATCAAAACTCTGCCTTCGTTCCCCAAAGCTGAACCGACCCCCGAGGAAGGTAAAAGGACAAAGAGAGGAAAAAAGGACCAACATAATTTTGGCACGCCTAGTGGGACTTCTCTTCGTGCATGGTGAGAAAGACCAGAAAGAAAGTATACATGGCTGATTCGACTCAAGCCAGTTACGAAAAGAACAAAGAAGTAGCAGAGTCTGAGTCAATGGAATCATCAACGAAAGTACCTTTCGAAAGACTCGAAAAAGTCATGAGAGAGGGTTTCCATGCAATGACCAATTCCATGGATCTCCTATCTCAAAGCGTCGTTCAGACTGTTGAGAGAGGCCATCTAAACACAACCCTACAAGGGAATGAAACAAGGGCATATCTAGGTCACCTCTTCGAACGGGCCATGCAGGCAGAACAAGACGATAAAATGCCCCGGAAGGAAGCTGGGATACTATCAAATGTCCAGACGCCTTTGTTAATACAAGGATACTCTTCAGGGCAAACGAGTGGGCATGCCCAGCCATCGACTTCAGAGAGGGTGATAAAAGATTCTCTCAAATCATCTTACTAGGTAGACCAGACCGCAGGGTCTAATATCACTGCAATGGCACCGCAAGTGCCAAAGGTGATTTCACCACCCAAGGACGTTGCCAGTCAACATTTTGCTCTATTTGGAACGCCCTCCAAATACCAGGCTCCCAGAACTGGCGAACCAGCCCTACCACCAGAGTCGGTCCGAAGAAACATGCATGCTAATAGATGGCGACAACCAGCAGGGTTGAACGTACCTATCAACAATGTTGATAACGGAGGTAACAGACGAGGAAGACAACACAACGCACGGATGCCCGAACCAATTCCGGAATTCAATGACGAAGAAGATGCAGGACAGGCTCCTCTGGCCGGTGCCGAACCTGCACCCAGACACCTTTCAGACATGGATATTCGTAATGAAATGGAAGCACTAAGGCAACTAGTTTATAATGGTCCGGCCGGTATTCAGAGACCGGCCCGACCTACCTATCAGAAACCTTATCCTGCTTATATCGGCGATTTACCCTTCCCAAGAGGCTTCAAAGTTCCGAGTTTTAGCCTGTTCAATAGGGAAGACTTGTATGCGTCAGCATTAGAGCATATATGCCGGTTCTCAGCCCAGTGCGTAGCCATAAAAACCCAACCACTCTTGAAGTTGAGATTATTTGATAGCTCTCTATCAGGTCAGGCTTTCACTTGGTATTCCAATCTAAGCCCGAACTCCATCCTTGGATTGGCATAAATGGAAGGAGCTTTCATAGAGCAATATTATAGGCCCGAACCGGAGATTACCATCAATGACCTCACTGATATGAAGCAAGGGGATCACGAAACAGTGCCAGATTTTATCGCCCGATTTAAAAAGATCAAAATGAAATGCAAAATTCCTATGGATCAAAAACATTTTATAAAAATGGCACAAAATGCACTCAGACTATCCCTTCGGAAAAAGTTTGATGACATTGAATTCATGGATTTGCAGGATGTAGCCCAACGAGCTGGCAAGTACGAATTGCTACTCAGGGAAGAAATCCAAAGGAAAAACAACTCCAAGCCCGCATACTACAAGAATCCAATTCATCAGTTGGAAGTAGTGGGCGCATTGGACGAAGAAATTGAAGAAGAGGCTGGTTCCGAAGTGGCACTGGCTGAGATCGTTCAGATGAAAACTCCAATCACCTACAAGGCAGTAGTAAAACTAGGAAAGGAGTAGCGAAACATTGTTGCCCCAACTGGGGGATTCGTTCCATACAAACAGAAACATAAATCGTACTCTTTCGATTTGTCAAAGGCTGAAAACATCTTTGACGAATTGCTACGAGGAAAGGCAATCAAACTTGACGAGAAGCAAATGTTTCCCAAGCCGGAAGAACTGAAGAACAAAATGTTTTGTAAGTGGCATAATTCTTTTTCGCATGCTAATTGTGTTCAGTTCAGAGATGTCATCCAAGATCTCATTGTCGAGGGCAAGATTCTTATGGACAAGCAGCCTACCATGAGGATAGAAAAGGAGCCTTTCCCTGCACACATGATCGGCGTCAACTAGCCCGACATACGTAACAAACGAAAAATCGTGGTGGATGTAGGCGAGGAAGGATATCGAAAAGTTACTATAGCCACGCCAGAAAGGTTGAAAGCCACCATCACAGCCGTGATCGTATTATGTAGCCGATGCAAATGTGAATGTGAATTAGAGATACCAGCTACAGGATCGAAGATTGACGAACAATTAATCCGCACAGGAGGAGAAACCGACAGACATCCTAGCAGAATATCCAGTCAATCATATGGACCCCTCATCCCAAGAAAGAGTCCGAACAAACCATATGAAACATTCCGAAGGATAGACAGGAGAGCTATGAATGAAACCTCCATACGACAGGAATCCGAATCAACGAAATTGGAAGAAAGAGATAAGTGGAGAACAAGACTGAAACAGCCTAAACCCATGGCTTTTCCATTACGCCCACTTGAAGAAACTGGTTGCAGTAAACCTGCTACTACTTCTTACTCGACTAATGTCAGGCCACCCGAGCCAGCTACACCAGCAATGGTGCAGAATGGGAGATGGTATTTAGTGGGGAAGGGTGGTAAGCCAGGAAGAGAATTAACCAATACCCAGGCCAGACGGATCAAAAGAAAATACGGCAAGGCCAAGAGGGAAATGGAATACCAATCAAGGCAATCAAGCCCACCTAGGGCCCATCAAGCCACCAGGAACGAGTTCCAACGCGAAGGAAGATCAACGGTAGGTATGCTCAGACCCAGAGGCGCGCCCGAAAATACCACCCGAACAGAGAAAACCGAATCAAGACCATACCTGGAAAATAAAGAAGCAACAGAAAGGTCGAAGCCCGAATTGTTCCCCAAACCAGGTTGTGGGTCACGACCATCCTGTGCGAGAATGCCAAGACTGGGAGCAGGTAAAACTATTCTAAGGCAACCAGCAATGACAACTAACCAGGACAACTCCGCCGAAAAGCTTAACAAGAGCACCAACCCAGAAGCTGGAGAAGGATCGTACAAACCGATTACGCAGATCACAATCCCAAAAAAGGCGCAGCAAGCCAGCTCAGCTATAGAAGAAGAGGAAACAGATAACATGTCCGAAGATGATAATGACGATTGGTTGGACTATGAGCTCAATCATGAAGAATTCAAGGCAACCTTAGGACTACGAACAAAAGATGAGGATAGACAAGCGTTTATGGAAAGCCAGCCTGATCCCATGCCAGCTATAGTGTTCAGAACAATAGAAGAAGTTGGTGAATCGACGATTGGGAAACTCATCTTGGCGATTGAGGAATCAGCAACTCTACAAAAACCCATGAAGAATGAAGTTGAAACTGAATCCTCAATGAATCAGGCCATCAAGTGTAGAGAAGAGACCACTGCACAAGGAAATATGCCAGTAAATATGGCATACGTCCTCCCCGCCTTTTACAGGTCGAAAGAAGGACAACCATGCAGCATGGAAGGTGACATCCTGATCGAAGAACACGTCGTTGCTCTGATTGGGATACATGATGATGGTGATGACAAACTAGACAATCCGCAAATGACTGATTCGGGCCTAGAGCACAAAGGCCTAGGCTCCCCAAAGAGGGAGACCCCTCGAGTGTTCTTCACTAGACCAACTAGGTCTATGATGCGGCACCTGAGACCCTTGTTCATTTCCGCCAGAATTAACGGTGTCCCTTTCAAAAATGTCTTGATCGACGGAGGGGCGGCCGTCAACATCCTAACTTTCAAAAGATTGGAGAAACTCGGGAAAAGTAAATTGATCTAATACCCACTGAGTTGACTGTTTCTAATTTTGCAGGAACTATCACGGCAACACATGGGATTTTGATTACCGAATTTGAAGTCGGTTCGAAGAATTTACTAGTGTCATACTTAGTAGTTGATAGTACATCTTCTTACCATGCATTGATGGGTAGAGACTGGATACATCAGAGCATGTCCATACCTTCCTCCCTCCAGCAAGAATTATTAATGTGGGATGAGGAAATAGAAGATTATGAAATGATCAAAGCAGATTCTCAGCCTTTCCTGCCTTCAGCCAACAATGTTGATGCAAGATTTTACAATGAGGATATCGCTCCTTTCACTGTACCTGAACTCATCAAGAACGGCCACTCTCCCGTAGTGATGGCCCAGAAATTCCTCTAGCAGGGCTTGACGTTTTCCTCGGAAGAATGGGAAATGCCCCAAATCTCTTTTACCTAGTGTCATGATTAAAGAAAGCCCACAGGAAGAGGGGGCATTTCTGCTAATCAATACGCTAGCAGAAAGAGTAAAGGAGATGAGGAAGAGGAGCAATTGTTAGATGGAAATTCCGCCAATTACATGGCAGAATTCGTCTCAGAGGAAGCTTGGACCGAAACCATCAGAGTAGAGGAAGAAATCCAACTTGCACCCACCAAGTTGAGTTAGACTCCTCCAGAAGTTCAAGACCCTCTCGAAGAAGTCAATTTAGGGACCGAAGAAGACCCCAGACCTACATTTATCAGTAGCCTTCTCGATCAGTCTGTACGAATGGAACTGATCGCCCTTCTCAAAGAATACAAGGATTGCTTTGCATGGCACTACCACGAGATGCCAGGACTCGATAGAAGTCTAGTAGAGTATAGATTACCTATAAAAGAAGGCTACAAACCAGTAAAATAGCTGAAGCGAAGGATGTCTATTGAGACAGAACTCAAAGTGAAGGAAGAAATCGAGCGATTGCTGAAAGCGGGATTCATCAGGCCAGCCTGATACGTCGAATGGCTGGCTAACATAGTCCCTGTCTTGAAGAAAGTCACTAAAGCAGTAAGGGTTTGTGTAGACTACAGAAACCTCAATGAAGCTACCCCAAAAGATGAATACCCAATGCCAATGGCAAACATGCTTATTGACGGTGCAGCACATAACAAGATCTTGTCTTTTATGGACGGTAATGCAGGATATAATCAAATCATGGTCGCTGAAGCAGATGTTCACAAAACCGCATTCATTTGCTCGGGGGCAGTAGGAGCCTATGAGTACGTCGTCATGCCTTTCGGACTAAAGAATGCAGGAGCTACCTACCAAAGGGCAATGAACGTTATATTTCACGACATGATTGGACACACTCTAAAGGTGTATATCGATGATGTGGTCATCAAATCTCAGGAACAAGGAGCACATATCAAAGATCTACGCAAGGCATTCAACAGAATGCGGCAACATCAGCTGAAGATGAATCCAAAGAAATGTGCATTCGGTGTCCAAGCAGGGAATTTTTTAGGATTTTTGGTACATCAGAGAGGCATTGAAGTTGACAAAAACAAGGCCAAGGCAATTATCGACGCCCCGATACCTCGTAAGAAAAAGGAGCTACAGAGCCTTCTCGGGAAAATCAATTTCCTAAGAAGATTTATAGCCAATTCATCAGGAAAAGTACAACCGTTTTCCCCGTTGTTGAAGGTAAAGGAGGGAGAGCCATTCATATGGGGTCCTGCCCAACAAGAAGCGTTTGACCAGATAAAGCTTTATTTGACCAAACCTCTAGTCCTAATGCCACCAAAAAAGGGTATACCACTAAAATTGTATATTTCCGCTTTAGAAAATTCAATCGGTAGTTTACTGGCCCAGGACAATGATGAGGGCAAGGAACAAGCTGTATTTTACTTAAGTCAAATTTTACAAGATGTGGAAACCCGTTATTCAGCTATTGAAAAACTTTGCCTTGCTCTTTACTTCACTACAGTAAAACTTCGTCATTACATGCTTCCTTTTACTGTTCATATCATAGTAAAGACATATCTCATTAAATATATGCTTAACCGGCCAGTGCTTAGGGGACGATTAGGAAAGTGGATCTTGGCTTTGTCCGAATTCAGTTTTAGGTATGTCCCTCAAAAAGCGATTAAAGGGCAAGCCATTGCAGACTTTCTAGCCGCCCACCCTTGTGTGGAAATCGAAGATTTAAGCACCTTAGAAATTGCTAATATGGGTTTTTCGCCAGAGCAAAGAGCGCCAAAATTTGAGTTCAAAAGCATACTCGGTAATCTACCAAACAAACAAGGCTAGGTCCAAATTTCAGTCAAAACGGTACAGATCAAACCATGGAAGCTGTACTTTGATGGATCCAAGATAGATTTAGCCACCGGAGCAGGCATTGTCTTGGAAGAACCATTCGGAGCCAAATACGCCTACTCTTTCCAGCTCAATTTTGATAGTACTAACAATAGGGCTGAGTACGAAGCTTTAATTATCGGCCTAGAAATGGCATTAGAACTGGGAGTAAAGCATTTAGAAGTGTTCGAAGATTCTCAATTAATAATTAGGCAGATAACCAACGAATACAAATGCAAGGACCCGAGTATGGCAGCCTACTACGTGGCAGCTCGTAATTTAGGATCTGTGTTTAAAACAATATCAATCAAATACGTCCCAAGGGATAAGAATCTGGCCGCCAATGAAATGGCACAGATAGCATCCGGCATTCAAATTCAAGAAAGTCAGTCTGAACGAACTATCACAGTACAAAAAAGGGCTCTTCCTTCAATCCTCAGTAGAGGAATGGATCTTGAGATAAATGCCCACGATGTACAAACCGGAGACTGGAGAAAGCCACTGCTTGAATACTTGACTAATCCAACTCCTAGAGCAAATAGAAAATTGAAATATCAGGCTACGAAGTTTGTCGTGATAAATAACGAATTGTTCAGACGATCCAAGGAAGGAATTCTTTTACGGTGCTTAGGACTTCAAGAATCAATGCGCATTATGGGCGAGATTCATGAAGGCACTTGCGGAGCACATCAATCCGGGAAAAAGATGCGGTGGCTCATCAAAAGATATGGTTACTTCTGGCCAACGATGGAGAAAGATTGTTTTAATTATGCCAAAGGATGCGAGGATTGCCAACGGAATAGTCTGATTCAACATGCTCCGGCAACTCTTTTGAATCCAATCATAAAGCCTTGACCTTTCAAAGGCTGGGCCATGGAGTTTGTGGAAAAAATTGTGCCAAGCTCCAGCAATGAGCACACGTTCATCATTGTAGCCACAGACTATTTCACTAAGTGGGTAGAAGCTAAGGCTTTGAAATCTATCACTTCAGCCGCAGTGATTACTTTTATCAAGCAGCAAATCATTCACCGATTTGGAATTCCAGAAAGCATCACTACGGATAGAGGCACCTCCTTCATCTCAAGGGAAATCCAAGCATTTGCTGAAGAATACAATATCAAATTCGTGCAATCCAGTCCTTACTTTCCACGCGCCAATGGTCAAGCGGAATCTACCAACAAAGTCTTGATCAATATTATCAAGAAAATGGCGGATAACAATCCTAGAGATTGGCACGAAAGGTTATCTAATGCGCTCTGGGCAGATTGGCACGAAAGGTTACGCTCTCACTTACGGGCATGATGTTGTGTTACCAGTAGAGATCAACGTGCAATCCCTACGTATCGAGAGACAGTCCGAATTAAGCAAAGAAGAATACACGGAGGCTATGATGAAGGAATTGGAGCAACTTGGTCCAATTCAGGCCAATTCAGGCAAGCAGTGGCACGTGCCTATAATAGAAGAGTCTGGCGAGCGGTCCTGCCATTAGGAGCTGACGTGCCAGAACGTTCATACCATCCTTATGGAGCCCGACTTGGGAAGGTCCTTTCATAATCAGTAAAATTCTGGGAAAAGGGGCTATTTGCTATGTGATAGAGATGGAACGGTGCATCAACATCCGATAAATGGTCAATGGCTAAAAATGTTCATACCATCCTTATGGGAATTGACGGGTCTAGACCTAAGTAGCCCATAGCATGCACGTTTCGAATAAGGTTTACAATTCCAAACTGGTGTTGTATTGAATGCCTAATACCAGTGTGAATAGAATAATAGTATTTAATAAAACCATCATACAAGGTTGTTTTAAATAAAAAAAAAGTATAGGTCGGGGTACTTCAGCAACTACACAAGCAGGTCCAACAAGGTCTTGATCTTTTCAGTAAAATGTCGCGTATCTACACGGAGCTTATCAAGACGGATCATCCGCAGCCTCTCCTACCATATCTCCAGCCCAACGTCCATCTCGGCCTTGTCAATGTCCTCTTTGGCAGTGGTCAGGGCCGTTAGCATTTGATCAGCCTCATCTTGGAACTCCTCCTTTTGCAGTAGTACCTGCTGCAAGTGAGCCTCTGAGGTCCTCAGTCTCCAATCTGTTTGTTTCCACAGTAGCTCGCATTTCTCCAACTCCTCATGCTGCACTTTCATTTCTTCTCTGGATCGGACCAGTTTGGCCTCCAATGGCACTTCATCATCAGGAAATGGAGCAGCATCACTGTGTTGAAATTTGCCAGCCAAGGTTAACAAGTCTAGCTTGGCAGTCTCAAAAGAGGATGCAAAATCCGGGTAGGAAGGGCTAAGAACATCTAAGGCATCACAGACTTTGCTCTTCTGTTCATCTCCCACCCTCTCCTCTGTCGAGAGAGTCACCCACTTTGCCAAGACCAATTTCGCTCTCTCCTTGGACATAGTTGGAACCTTATGCTTTTCGGCATGTGGAGAACCCGAATACTGACTAGCTTCAGCATGATCTATAGGATCCACTGTCGGCTCAGGCATCGCATTTTCAATTTCAGGCATCTCGGCCTCCTGCCACAAGTACACACAATCATTTCCTGCAATTTCTTCCCTCAAGGGCAAGGTAGAATCATAGAAAATTTACCTTCGGGTCAAGAACTGATGACTCCCTTTCAAAATCCATCGACCCTAATTCAAGAGCCAACGCCTCGACAACCACTTCAGTAGAATTCTCGGCCGTAACATCTTCAAGAGGGCCCTCCTCACAGGTCGTCTCCTCAAGCCTCACCTCCCCAACAACCAGGGGGCATTCAGTCTCCGCCGGCGCAGCTGTTTCGGATATAGTCCCCTGGCATTCCGACTTATAAAAAGGAAAAGAAATGAATAAAAAAAAAAAAAAAAAAAAAAACCCAAAAAAAAACCACCAAAGAAGGGTACTAGAAGGTTATATTTTTACCTCAGAAGGACGTTCTTCTCTCAAAGGTGAAACAGGCAGATGATCCACCTCATCTACGTCAACAATTTCTGCATCAGGGACTTGTTTGGGCCTAAAAATTGACACACCTAGCCCAGCAAAAATAAGGCCCAGAATAAGGCTGCAGAATTCAGAGCAAAATTGGTCTTCGAAGAAACAGGGAGTTAGAGGCCCAAAATCTAGAAAAGCCCAGCCCAAAACCTGGGCCTCACAGCCCCATTGTGATGAAAAAGGGGGAGCCCAGAGATAGGAAACAATCCCACGTGACATCTCTGGGATGAAGAAAAGTCAACAACGGCAACTGTCATGAAAGAAGTGATTGAAAAGTTTATGTCATCAAGCTGTTCTGAAAAAAAACCTTGAATAAATCAGAAGATAAAAATCCTTCTTACATATACATATATATATATATATTAATCAGAGATTTTTCTTCTACTCTACAGAGAGGGTAATTCTCCCAAAGAGATAAGCAAGCTACAAGCTCAGAGAGAGATAAGCAGGAAAGCAGGAAGCTGTCCAGAAAAGAAATCAAACTAACCATCACGGGTGAAATCTCACAAGGGGCAGTTGAAATTGAGAAAAGAGATTAGGTTCTTTCTCAAGAAAAACAGGGAAGTGATTGCCTATTTTTGAAAGCCTATCTGCCAAAATCCTACTTTCTTTCTTTCCATTTTTAAAAGAGAAAAAAAGGGGAAATATCTTCTGAAAGAGATTTGCCGCCCATTATTAATTTTCACTATAAATACAAGAAGGAGTGAACAGGGTAAAGGACACAAAAAATTCATCATCCAATCAAACAAAGATCTTACACAAGAAAACCGTCAAAAAGACAAGTTCAAAATCAACCAACAAGCCCACTTGAATTTCAAGTGAAACCAGCTCCAGATCAGAATTCCCAAGATCCAGATTTAAGAAGCAAGTCATTCAAAACGAGATTTCTCTCGTTACAAATTTGGTTCAGCAAAAACCAAAACAGGTAGAGCTTGAGCTTCCTCCAAATATGGAAAACCTCAACAAAATTCACAGTGCAGTCTCTAGCCCACTAAAGCCCTCAAAAAACAGTCGCTCCTGCCCGTGCAGACTGAGAAAACTGCAGTTCTGCCCACTCAAAAGCATGAGGTACATTGAAGCTCTGCCAGAATCAGCCTTTGGTATCGATTTACAAGTTGAAGCCTAGCAGTCAAGGTTATCAACGGTCCAGTCTAGCCCAGGTGTTTCCAGTCCAGCCCGGGCATTTCCAGTCCAGCCCAGATCAGAACCTTCCATCTCGACAAAAGCAAAGTCCCAGCTGTCTCTTCATCTCTCTCTAGCATAAGCATTCATTGTTATATTTTTGTAAAAGGCAGTTCCGCCTAAAAAACAGTTTAAATCCCATCAACCATTCTGACCAAGACAACCTCTTTATACTGAGATAAATTGTTAAAGTCCTCACCAGTCTGAGGCAGGAAAAGAACTTACTTGGGAGATATTCCTCACCCAAATTCACAATCGCTTGTTTGCAGAAATCAGTAACTTGGGACGCAAGTTATCCATTCCAAACTAAGTCTGCTAGAAATTTTTGCTAGCAGTGGCACGCTCGCACACCAAAGAAAGCTGACTTGTTGACCAGTTTATGGTTCTCAAGGCAGTGGGGAACTTTGCCCTTCCATCATAGGAGTAAACGCAAAAACGGGTGAACAATTTGGCACGCCCAGTGGGACTTCTCAGTATACATATTCTCATTGAGTTCTTCGCCAGTTCATGAATATTGGAAGCTCTAGCCAGAACCCACACCACGACATGGAAATAAACCAAGTGGCCCTCAGGGAAGGACTGGAATCAGAAGAGAGTGATGCCCGGCATTCAGCACATGGCAGCACAGGGAGCAGGAGGTCCAGGACCGGCTCCAGAAGGATGAACCTGATACAGGAATCTGTGTTACGACAAGAGGTCACAACACAAAGGAGCCAAGATACTCTAAATAATATGACAGCCATGATGCAATGGCAGGTCAACAGGCAATTCAGGAAGGACCGAGAGGCTGCCATGGCCAGAATTCCCAATCCCAGATGAGGTGGTCCAGCAACTAGACCTTCCCTTTGGTCCCCCACCAGGATTGGCATGGCCATATCAAGAGAATCCTCTTGTTGCACAGGAAGCTGGGATACCAGAACGAGGGGAAATCCAGGCTGGACACAGGGAAGTAGCTTTTCCTATCCAAGAACGTTAGGCCCCAATACGGCCAGAAGGTCCTGCGCCAGGACAAGTTCAGCAGAATCAACCAGAGCCTCAGCCTGTTCCACAACAAGCGGCCCCACAAGATCACCCTATGGAAATTCTGCCTGAACAGCCAGCAGTATTACCCTACAGGCCCAGAAGGATGGACCCCAATCCATTCCCCCCACCTGCAAGAGGAAGGAGAGGCAGAGGGGGAAACTACCCTTATGCTAACAATGACAGAAACAGGCAGGGGGCAAACTGGAGGAACCACCCAGGCCTGGAAGAGCCGGAGGAGCACAGGGAAGAAGTTCTGCCTAGACCATATAGGGCAGAACCACGATTTAATCATGCCCAGCCAGAACAGGGACAAAACCTCATCCCCTGTTAATGCTCTAAATGACGTGGGGGCATTGCAGAGGATGATCAGGGAAATGATGGAGCCTGAGGCCAGGAGGGGGGAAAGACCCACCTACAGGAAAGCCATATCCACCTTACATTGATCAGATACCCTTGTCCCCAGGTTTTAAAGTACCAAACTTCACTTTATTCAACGGAGAGGATCCTCATGCTTCATCAGTCGAGCACGTAGGCAGATTTTCTACCCAATGCATAGCCATAGAGAATAACCCACTGTTAAAGCTAAGACTTTTTGGGAATTCTCTCTCTGGACAAGCTTTCACTTGGTACACTACTCTGCCAGCAAATTCTATTCAAACTGGGAGCAAATGGAGAGCGTCTTCCATGACTACTATTACAGGATTCAGCCAGAAGTCACCATCAGTGACCTTGCCGCTCTCAAACAGAGTGAGGATGAACCTGCCCAAGACTTTATAAACAGGTTCAGGAAGCTCAAAATGAAGTGCCGAATCCCCATGGAAGAAAGACACTTCATCCAAATGGCTCAGGCTGCCCTCAAAATCTCTCTGAGAAAAGATTTGATGGGATGCTGTTTGGAGATCTGGCAGAACTGGCAGATAAAGCGGCCAAGTACGAGGAATTGCTCAGAGAGGAACAGCAGAAGAGAAACTCTTCCAAAGGCACGTATTATAAATCCCCTTCTTCCTCAATACATATGATTGAAGTAGAGTCAGAAGAAGATGCGGAGGAATCAGAGGAGAGAGAGGTTGCAGTTGCGGAAATGGCAAAATTAAAGCATCCCATCAGTTGTAAAACTCTTACAAAACCTCCAAGGGATCAGAAGCCGCCACCATTCACAGGAGGGTTTGTTCCAAACAAACCCATGCAGAACAAGGTGTATTCCTTCGATCTGACCAAAGTAGATGCCTTGTTTGATGAAATGTTGCTGCATAAAAGCAATAGAGACGCCTCACAGAATGCCCAAGCCAGAAGAACTCAAGGGCAGACAGTATTGCAGATGGCACAATTCTTGGAATCATTCTACCAATAGTTGTGTTGTTTTCAGAGATGTCATACAGGAAGGGATAACAGCAGGAAGGCTGAAGCTAGCAGAAAAACCTCCATCCGTCACCACAGATCCTTTTCCCCCGCCACAAGTTAACATGGTCAACCTAAATTGGCCAGAACGAAGAAGGACAGACCAGCTATGAGGCTGGCTCCAGTAGAAGCAGAATAGTTTCAAAGGAGACTATGGAAAGACCAAAAGCAACCATTTCAGCTGGAATAGTGCTCTGCAGCAGGTGCAAGTGTGAGGCTGAGCTGGAAGTAGTCCTGGAAAAACAGGAGCTGCCCACTCCAAGTGTTTTTGACCGGATCGGAACCACGCCCCATGATAGGGCCAGACAAAGAAACTACCCCAGGCCTGTCCAATCCAACAGAAGAATGACTAAGCAGCCAAAGGAGGAAATATCAATAAAAGTGCCCGGAAGTGACAAACCTTTGGCGGCCATCATTGAAGGCAGGTGGTATTCTGTCGGGAAGAATGGCAGACCAACAATGGAGCTAACAAGAACCCAAAGGAGGAGGGTTCAGAGACAGTACTGCACATTCCTCAATAACGAGAAAAACGCACAGGTGCTTCCAAAGCCAATTCTGCCAAAAAGGGGAAAGAGCCAGAAGTACTTCCCCAGACAGAACAAGCAATCTCTCAACCACAGAAGTTGACGAAAGCAGAATCCTCAGAGAAACCTTCTATCCATCCTGCCTCCACCTCAGAAGATCTACTTAAAACTCCCCAACCAGAGGAAAAAACCGATCCTATTCCAGGAGAAGGACAAGAAGACTGGGTGAGGAGTATGAAGAGGAGCAGCTGGATTATGAACCATCTACAGATGACCAGAATGCGCTCCTCGGAACAGAAGAACTGGGAGAATGGACGGAGGAAATATGATGGAGAACAGATGGATTATGACGGAGAGTTGGATGCAGAAACTGAGGCCTTTGGTGCAGAATTGGAGGACTTGTTACGTGCTGACCTAGGCATCAATATGGTGTTCATTCTGCCAGAAAAGTTCTGGGCGGTAGAGGGACAGAAGAGCACTCTGGACGGAGACGTATTTTCCCAAGAAAGTTTTGAATGCAGGTTGGCAGAAACGGAAGCAACAGCAAACAGGCAATCCCAGGACAGAAGGAGCAACCACAAGCTGGCTACAAGTCCCGCTTTGCTTCTCCAAACCAACCAAAGAAATGGCAAACCACCTCAGACCCTTGTTTATAACAGCAAACTTTGGGGGTGTTCCTATCCCCAAAATATGGTAGATGGAGGTGCAGCCATCAACCTTCTGCCTCACAGAATGCTGAGCAAAATGGGCAGAACAGAAAAGGATTTAATTCCCAACCCGCCTGACCGTCACCAATTTCGCAGGAGGCATCACCAAAACCCTTGGGATCCTGGACGTGGATGTTTTGGTAGGAAGCAAGAAGCTGAAGGTTGCATTCTTTGTGGTAGATACTACTTCTACCACTTACAATGCACTGCTTGGCAGAGACTGGATTCATCAGAGTCTATGTGTTCCTTCCACTCTTCATCAACAGTTAGCTTTATGGAATGAAGAAGGCTACATGGAGATAATAGAGGCCGATCCACGGCCATTCCTACCTTCTGCCATGTGTTGTGAGGCAAGGTACTATCATGATGACCTTGGTCCTTTCACCTTCTTTGGAGTCAACCAGAACGGCCGCCCCCATGGTGTCACGGCCCAGAGGCTCATTGAAGAAGGTCTAACCAATTCTTTGGAGGATTGGAACAGACCTTTTGTTCTAAACTTCCAAAACTGATGTTTAGTCCCAATCAACAAGAAAAGGATCGAGCTGCAACAATCCGGTCCATTACAAAAAGATTGTTGATATACTGGGAGGAAAGAAGGTTTTTGCACAGAATCCAGCCATCAATATGGCAGAATTCACTCATGAAAGCACGGAAAGGCCAGGAGGAAGAGGAACTACAGGAGGAAGTGTTAGATTTTGCACCAGCTGCACTGGATGACTCTCTGCCAGAGGTAGAAGATCCTTTGCAGGAAATAAACTTAGGGAACAGGGGAGGATCCAAGGCCTACCTTTATCAACGCACTATTGAAAGAACCACTTAAGAATGAACTCGTTGCATTTTTACAAGAGTTCAAAGATTGTTTTGCTTGGCATTATCATGAGATGCCAGGATTAGATAGGGAATTGGTAGAACACAGGCTGCCAATCAAAGAGGGATACCTTCCAGTCAAACAGGCCAGAAGAAGGATGTCCATGGACACAGAACTGAAAGTCAAAGAAGAAATAGAAAGGCTGCTCAAGGCAGGATTCATCAGGCCAGCCATCTATGCTGATTGGCTAGCTAATATTGTACCAGTTCTAAAAAGGAAAACTGGGGCAGTCAGAATCTGCGTGGATTACAGAAACCTGAATGAGGCCTCTCCCAAGGATGAGTACCCTATGCCAATGGCAGACATGCTAGTAGATGGAGCTGCCCACAACCAGATGCTATCTTTTATGGATGGCAACGCAGGTTACAATCAGATCATGATGGCAGAAAAAGACATCCACAAGACAGCCTTCATGTGTCCAGGGCATATAGGTGCTTTTGAATACACTGTAATGCCTTTTGGCTTGAGAAATGCAGGGGCTACCTATCAAAGGGCAATGAATTCTGTTTTCCATGATATGATAGGGCATTCCTTGGAAGTTTATATTGATGATGTGGTGATTAAATCACCAGAGGAGGGAAACCACATGACAAATCTAAGAAGAGCATTCCTAAGAATGAGGCAACATAAACTGAAAATGAACCCAAAGAAGTGCGTTTTTGGAGTTCAAGCGGGAAATTTCCTAGGATTCTTGGTCCACCAAAGAGGCATAGAGATCGACAAAAACAAAGCAAAATCCATCATAGAAGCCTTGCCGCCTAGGAACAAGAAGGAATTGCAAAGTCTCTTAGGAAAAATTAATTTTTTAAGGAGATTTATATCCAATTCTGCAGGAAAGATCCAGCCTTTCTCTTCTTTGTTAAGATTGAAACAGGAACAAACCTTTAAATGGGAAGAACAGCACCAACAAGCTTTTGAAGAAATCAAGCATTACCTCTCAAATCCACCAGTTCTGTCCCCACCAAAGAGAGGCAGACCACTCAAGCTCTATATATCTGCATCAAAAGTATCCATTGGAAGTTTATTGGTTCAGGATAACAAGGAAGGAAAGGAACAGGCAGTCTACTACCTGAGCAGAACTCTAACAGAGGTGGAAAGAAAATATTTGCAATTGAAAGACTTTGCCTAGCCTTGTACTTCACTGCTGTGAAGCTCAAACATTACATGCTGCCATACACCATCTATATCATTGCCAAAACAGATATGATCAAATACATGCTAACAAGACCAATGCTAAGAGGCAGAATTGGAAAATGGACCTTGGCCTTGACAAAATTTGCCTTCAGATATGTTCCTCAGAAAGCCGTCAAAGGACAAGCTGTGGCAGACTTCCTAGCAGATCATCCCGGGGAGGAGATTGAAAATATGGACTCTTTAGACATAGCAAATGCAGATCTATTAACCAGAGCTCACACCTGCCTCAACAATCCTATCTACTCAGTTCATCTTGCACCTTGGAAGTTATACTTTGATGGATCAAAAACTGATATAACTTCCGGGGCAGGAATTGTTTTGGAAGAACCACTTGGAATCAGACACTGCTACTCTTTCCAATTGGATTTCCAGTGCACCAACAACAGGGCAGAATATGAGGCCTTAATCATTGGCTTGGAAATGCTGGTAGAACTAGGAATCCAATCTGTGGAAATTCTGGGAGATTCCATGCTGGTTTTAAAACAAATTGCTGGGGAATACAAGTGCCTAAGCCCTTCTTTGGCTGTCTACTTGGTGGTAGCTAGGAATCTTCTGACAGAATTCAGAGAAGCCACTTGGGAACATATCCCAAGGGAAGAAAATTTTGCAGCCAATGAATTGGCTCAGGTGGCAACAGGCATACAAATGCCCGAAGAGTGTGTACAAAGAATCATCAGGATAGGAAAGAAAAGCCTACCATCTGTTCTGGCCAGGGGGATGGAGATAGATGTCAATTCTGCCACAATCACCGAAGATGATTGGAGAAATCCTATCATGACCTATTTATGATATCCAACTTTGCCCTCTGAGAAGAGAGTCAGAATCATGGCTTTAAACTACCTTATGTGGAATAAAGATTTGGTCCGAAAAAGTAAGGATGAGGTGCTTTTAAGGTGCCTCGGAAAGAAAGAATACATGAAAGTCATGGGGGAAACCCATGAAGGAATCTGTGGAGCACATCAAGGAGGGAGAAAAATGTGCTGGTTAATTAGAAGATATGGCTACTTCTGGCCAACCATGATGAAAGATTGCATTAACTATTCCAAAGGATGTGAATCTTGTCAAAGCCATGGGCAATTAGAGGATGGGCAATGGATCTCATTGGCAAGATCTATCCAGCCAGCAGCCAGCAGCACTGTTTTATCATTGTTGCCACAAACTACTTCACTAAGTGGGTAGAAGCCAAGGCTGTTAAATCCACTACATCTCAAGAGATCATCATTTTCATAAAAGAACAGATTATACAAAGATTTGGCATCCCAGAATCAATCACAACTGATAGAGGATCCTCTTTCATATCTGGAAGGATTGGATGCAGGCAGAATTGACACTCTCAACAAACTCCTGGCGGGAAAACAAGTTGTATCAAGGGCTTACAACAAAATAGTTGAAAACAAGAGTTTTGAAGAAGGAGAGATAGTATGGAAAGCGGTTCTGCCCTTTGGAACACATGTGGCTGGTTATGGAAAATGGTCACCTACATGGGAAGGCCCTTTCATAATCAACCAGATCCTTGGAATGGGGGCATATAGGTTGCAGGATAGGGACGGAGAAATTCATACTGCCCCAATCAATGGCAAATGGTTAAAAAAGTTTTATCCAACCATGTGGGATTCACAGGCTGTACAAACAGACCCTGGGATAGACATAAGACTACACTGAAGATCTTTTGATTCTTTTAAATTTACCTTGGTTCTAAGATTATTTTAAATTTGTTCCCTTCTGTACTTCTACTTCTACTTTTGTTTCTGTTTATTTCATCAATAGAAATCGAAAACTAGAATTGCAACAAAAAATAAACTTTATTTAAAATAAATAAGTCATAGGGCCTTCCCCATGACAAGCTGTTCATCAAAAAATAATAATAAACAAAATCAAAATCCTAATTTTCTGAGAGTCTCTTGCAGATTGGTCTTCTTGATAGAAAGTTCCTTTTGAAGCAGCACACCTTGATGAATTGAAGCCTCTGCAATCTCCAGGGCTGGCCTAGAAGCTGCAACCATGTTCTGCACAAGGAAAGTGGCCTTGGTCTTGGAGCTCAATCCAGCCCCGAGCCTGTGCTGCACTTCCCGGCGCTCTGCCAGCTGCTTTTGAAGCTCCGCAATCTGTTTCTCCAATTTATCCGCAGTAGCTTTGGCTTCTTTATACCCCACAACCATCTGGTCCAGTTCTGCTTTCTGCTTTGCAAAATCAGCCAAGTTGGCTTCATGAGTGGCCTTGCAGAACTCAGAGGTTTTGAAGGTGGGCCTCAGATCTTCATAACGGTCGTGAAGGTTGAGCACATCCCTCGCCAAGACAAGGCTCATCTCGAGTATAGGTTTTGGGGCCATGTTCTGTCTGTATTGCAGATCCAGATCCTTCATCAGCTGGTCAAAGGCCTCCCTGCCCTCATCCAGCTCCAGTTCAGTAGACTGCCAGATCTTCAGTCTCTCCATTGCTTCTTCCACTGCCCTGGACTTTATCTTGCCTACAGGGGAGCTGAGCTTTTCCAATTTGTCTAGCTGGGCATCTAGGTCCATGGCTTCAAATTTTGCCAGCTCCGGGTCAGCAAAAGAGGCCGTGGCAGATGAACCTGCAAGGGAATGAATAGACATTTGCAGAAGGAAGCATAAGTCAAAAACAAGGCAGAAACAGAAAAGAAGAAGACAAAAACTACAAAAACACTCACAGCAACAATCGGAGGCTGCGAAGGGGTGGTCCTTACCGCAAAGGTCCCAGCAGCTTTTGGTATTTCTACCTGTAAAGATTTGAGGGTTAGAGAGACAAAGGAACAGAACAAAACCACATAAGAGTAAGGGCAGAACTCACCATAAACCCAGGAACGACAGCAGCTACTTCTACTACGGTTTCAGGAGCAGGAACCACTTGTTCTGCCTGCTCCCCAGGCTCTGATCCGAATTGTTCCGCTTGGTCCTCAGCTGCTAGAGCAGCAGTAGAATGTTCTGCCTCTGAATCATCAAAAAGGGCCACCTCTGAGTTAGTTAGCCCTGTCCCTATATCTTCCTGCTGCTTCCGAGCCAAGGCAATGCACTCCGCTATCACCTCAACAGGGATTTCCTCCTACAAATGCACAGAAGTCAGAACAGAAGAAATAAAAGTGCAGCAGGAACAAATACTGCCAAATACATATAGACTCGCCTCTTCTTCCACTGTCTTGGCCTTCTCTTGAGGCCCCTCTCCTACTTCTTCTATCTCTTCCAGCTCATTTTCTTGCTCCACAGCTTCGAAAGCCTCTCTCAGATCGTCATCCGTGCCAGAGGTGGTGGTAGGAACTGCCCTAGTTCCCTCCGGGGCCACGTATTCTTCTACAATCTTCTTTCTAAGTCTTTTTGACTTAGTAAGAGGAGGAGAAGGACTTCCAGCTACAACGAACAGAAAATGAGTCTTAAGATTATGGTAGAACAGGATTATGAAGAACTCAAAAGGGAAATTGTCAAAGAATACCTGGAATCACAGACTGAGCAGTTTCTTTTCTTTTTCTTTTAACAGGAGAAGTGGCCTCAACAGGAGTCTGTTCTACCTGATCTTCTTCTTCTTCCTCATCTTCTCCATCCTCGGAGGGCAGCTCCAGATCTTTTAACAGAATTAACTATGCAGAAAACAAAAGTCAAGGGTCAATCCAGTAGAGGAGTAATACGAGAAGACTGAACAAACATCAAAACTTACCAAACACCTTTCCACTCTGGGCAGGTTGGCTACCAATATTCTTTGTCAAAGAGGGATCTGAATACAGACAGAAAAAGATTAGCATCATCACTAAAAACAGAATGGGCAACAACAGACAGAATTGAGAGATTACCTTATATAAACTTGCATGTTGATGTCTTTGATGGTCTGCACCATGAATTTGTGAGTCTCCTCGTCTGTATGAACAGTCCAATTGTCCCAGCCCTTAAAAAGGACCTGAAGTGCGGTGCTAGAAGCAGGCAGGTCACGGAATCTGGCCTTCCACCAAGCATCAAACTTCGCAGAACTGCAGGAGTTCAATTCCCATGAAGGATAAAGGGCATCTGCACTATTGTTGATCTTATTCACTGCACACCTGGCATCTTTGTGGACCTCCAAGTCATCTGCATCCCTCCAAGAAGAGCCCCGATTGCAGCTTCTGTATGGCTTGAGGGGTATGAGCTGAGGGCAGCCAAGCTGCCTTGCACAGAAGTTGGGATGGTAGACTTCCGCCCCTAAATGATAATTTGGAGGCTTTCCTCCTCCGTGAGGCAGATCTCTGGGTAAGGTCACACTCAGGAACTTCTTCTTGAAATCAGTTCTGGCAGATTCTTCTTCTGGCTCCTTCTCAAACAGACGATGTCCAGGTTGAAACCAAGGATAGGTTCTCCTGATCACCACTTGCCATTGCGCTGCAGACCTCTTGGTACAATGCCTGAAGATCATCAGGTACTCATCAATTGACCTCTTGGGGACTTCTGCCGACAACAATGGTTGAGCCAGAACCTGATCCTCAGGCAGAACTATATCTGGAAACCTCAACTCAGGAAAATAGACCTGCAGCCAGATCTGAATCATCCAGAAGGCACCAGGAGCAGACAGATTTAGCGGATACTCCAGGGTGGCAGTATGCAGGTTCTTGAATAGATGGGCCAGAACTGTAGGCCCAAGTCCAACATCAGTGTGATTATGCAGAGCTTCTGCCAGATGCCTATACTCAAGCAGAACTGCAGAAGAACGATTGGGCAGAATAAACATGTTCAGCCAATACAGGAGAAACAACATATGCTGCTGATCTTTGTCCTTCTCAGCACTAAATTTTTTGAGATAATTGGAAAAGGAGCAATTCTGGTTGATCAGGGCTGGGGAAATGTTGAATGGCTTGGCTAGCTTCTGCTGGTCTTTCTTCCTGTGATAATCACCAACAGCATCAACAGGTCTTCCATGAGGCCTAAAACCAAAAATCTGAGCCATATCCAGCAGAGTTGGAGCCATGGGGCCTATACGAAAATCAAAAGTGTTACTGGCAGAATTCCAGAAACACAGAGCAGCAGCAAGCAGGTTCTCAGTCCTGTTGATAGATTGCCTGGATAGGAGTATGGCGTCATAAATTCCAGCCCGCTTCCAGTGAGCCCCAAATCGGGGAAGAAGCCTGTCAATCCAATCAGCCCACTTGACTGGACTGTTTCTCACTTCACTAGATGGGAACAAACGGCTCAAATTCTTGCTAACCCAAGAATGAGAAGCCAGAGCAGAAGAACTCTCGAAACATAGAGGGGCCTCAGCATCCTTCTTCATCAGCTCTGCCATCTCGGGAGGAACGGGACCAAACCAGTGAGGCCCCAGCACCAAGGTGTTTTCGAACAAATGGAGGACATTTTCGTCTAGGTTTTTCTGGGCAAAAGGATGGAGCTTGCTCCTAACCTCTATCGCATGCTTATCAATTCCAGCCCCAGTAATGTAATCTGGAAGAACTGGAACAGAGGAAGATTGAGCACGAGATTTCGGGGAAGACATTTCTCGGAATTAAGGGAGGTTGTCACGATAGGCAAGGCAGGTTTCTTTTAGCAAAGGGAATTATCGAAAGAAAAGCTCAGGGGAAACGAAGTTTGAAAGTACTAGGTTTTCAGGTGAACAGGAACAGTGGTTTTTGAAAGTCTTTTAAAGAAGCCAGAAAACGTGGGAAAGAGAAGACAACGACGTGGAGAAGACAAAGCGTCATCTGATATTGACTAGCTAATAAAGGGCTAGTAACTAAAAACTGCTCCACACGGGCACTAGCTTAGTGGGGAAGCGTGGCAGACGTGGGATAACGGAAGAATTTACCACGCGCCAATTTAATGGCCATGTCATTTAAGTCTGAAACCGTTCCAAAAACGATTCAGACTTAAGGGGGCATTGTTTGGGCCTAAAAATTGACACACCCAGCCAAACAAAAATAAGGCCTAGAAGAAGGCTGCAGAATTCATAGCAAAATTGGTCTTCGAAGAAACAGGGAGTTAGAGGCCCAAAATCTAGAAAAGCCCAGCCCAAAACCTGGGCCTCACAGCCCCATTGTGATGAAAAAGGGGGAGCCCAGAGATAGGAAACAATCCCACGTGACATCTCTGGGATGAAGAAAAGTCAACAACGGCAACTGTCATGAAAGAAGTGATTGAAAAGTTTATGTCATCAAGCTGTTCTGAAAAAAAAACTTGAATAAATCAGAAGATAAAAATCCCTCTTACATATACATATATATATATATATATTAATCAGAGATTTTTCTTCTACTCTACAGAGAGGGTAATTCTCCCAAAGAGATAAGCAAGCTACAAGCTCAGAGAGAGATAAGCAGGAAAGCAGGAAGCTGTCCAGAAAAGAAATCAAACTAACCATCACAGGTGAAATCTCACAAGGGGCAGTTGAAATTGAGAAAAGAGATTAGGTTCTTTCTCAAGAAAAACAGGGAAGTGATTGCCTATTTTTGAAAGCCTATCTGCCAAAATCCTACTTTCTTTCTTTCCATTTTTAAAAGAGAAAAAAAGGGGAAATATCTTCTGAAAGAGATTTGCCGCCCATTATTAATTTTCACTATAAATACAAGAAGGAGTGAACAGGGTAAAGGACACAAAAAATTCATCATCCAATCAAACAAAGATCTTACACAAGAAAACCGTCAAAAAGACAAGTTCAAAATCAACCAACAAGCCCACTTGAATTTCAAGTGAAACCAGCTCCAGATCAGAATTCCCAAGATCCAGATTTAAGAAGCAAGTCATTCAAAACGAGATTTCTCTCGTTACAAATTTGGTTCAGCAAAAACCAAAACAGGTAGAGCTTGAGCTTCCTCCAAATATGGAAAACCTCAACAAAATTCACAGTGCAGTCTCTAGCCCACTAAAGCCCTCAAAAAACAATCACTCCTGCCCGTGCAGACTGAGAAAACTGTAGTTCTGCCCACTCAAAAGCATGAGGTACATTGAAGCTCTGCCAGAATCAGCCTTTGGTATCGATTTACAAGTTGAAGCCTAGCAGTCAAGGTTATCAACGGTCCAGTCCAGCCCAGGCGTTTCCAGTCCAGCCCGGGCATTTCCAGTCCAGCCCAGATCAGAACCTTCCATCTCGACAGAAACAAAGTCCCAGCTGTCTCTTCATCTCTCTCTAGCATAAGCATTCATTGTTATATTTTTGTAAAAGGCAGTTCCGCCTAAAAAACAGTTTAAATCCCATCAACCATTCTGACCAAGACAACCTCTTTATACTGAGATAAATTGTTAAAGTCCTCACCAGTCTGAGGCAGGAAAAGAACTTACTTGGGAGATATTCCTCACCCAAATTCACAATCGCTTGTTTGCAGAAATCAGTAACTTGGGACGCAAGTTATCCACTCCAAACTAAGTGTACTAGAAATTTTTGCTAGCAGTGGCACGCTCGCACACCAAAGAAAGCTGACTTGTTGACCAGTTTATGGTTCTCAAGGCAGTGGGGAACTTTGCCCTTCCATCATAGGAGTAAACGCAAAAACGGGTGAACAGGACTCCCACAGCAAGAGTCGGAGCAGGGCTCGGACCAGGAAGGTTAGAATCCTATAAAAATATACAAACATGAGAAAGGCAAAACTGAAATGACAAAGAAAAGGAAGAGCCCGATAATTACTAGGGGAGTAGTTGAAGCCAATTCAGGAGCCTCTGGGGTGAGAATCCCGACCCGTTTAGCTTGGGCAGCTTCAGGTTGAGCCTGAGTATCACCAACTGGATTAGCCTCCCCCAACAGCGACCTCTTTATGCCTACACGAGATTGAAAGGTTGATTAACAAATAAACGATGTTAGTTAACCACTTCACTTTAGCATTCTAATTACCTGAATAGCGAAAAGCGAATGGAGTGGTCTGAGAATCGCGAAGTCTGGAAAGGTTAGAAGCTTTGGGCATAGGGCCGAGAGGAACACTTACCCTCCCTGAGCTCTGCCTCCGTTGAACTAAGGTGGGAATCTCCGGAACAGATGAGGCCGAGCCAGAACTAGGTCTTTCTTTAGCAAGGACAGTCAATTGGGCAGAGGAGCAAAGTTTTTGATAATTGGCAGAAACTGCACGAAAACTCGGATGTTTAGAAGCAGAAAAACAGTTTAAAATTAACAAAGTTCTTCGTCCTTACTGGTTAAAGGAAGTTTGTTGTCAGTTGCGATCTGTTCGAGCAAAGCATGCCTTCCGTCTTCTCTAAGATTTTGGCAGAAAGGGCAGCTTTTGAAAGCTCTCTTGTATGCGGCGTCTATAGTCCCGAATCTACCAAGATAATTATTCCACCAAGCCTGGAAGGGCAGAGTGTCACAGCAAACGGGCTGGTAGGGCTTTAACTTGGCAGCCTTGCAAATTCTTCATACTTGGCCTGAACCCCCAGGAGATCTTCTCTGCTCAATTTTGGAAAACGATAGGACGAACCTTTGTTGATCAAAGAATAGTTTAGCTCAGGAATGACCTGGGGTCACCTGGATTGTCTATTAAAAAATTGAGGATTATAGGCCTCCACACCAGATTGATAGTTTCTGAAATCCATCTTGCCGCCACAAGGCAAGTCCCGGGATTGCAAACACGAAAAAGTATCCATGTTTGTAGAAGCGAGGGGGGCATCCACATCCCTGGGACCTTGATAAATGAGCCTATCCTTGAACCAAGAGCAGCTTCGCTTCAAGTTCATCATCCACTGAGTCACACTCCTGCTCTTTCGGCCCATGAAGAAAGTAAAACACTCATCAGTCGTTTTGCCAGAAATCGAGTTCAGAATCAAATCCCTCAAAAGGACCGAATCGGAGGTGGTACACAGATCTCGACCTCTTAATCACGAGAAGGTCCACTGCAACCAAATCTGCACCATCCACAGAAGTCCCTTCACGTTAAGATTGATGGGAGCAACGGTTGCTTCTCTCAAAGCCCTATAGATAGAACCTAAAACCAAGGGACCAGTAGCAATATCCCAATAAGACGCCAAGCCTTCAGCTAGATGAAGCCATTCCATTATAATGCAGTTAGAAGTGCTAGGAAAGAGGAATCGATTCAGCCAATACATCAGGAACATTATATGTTCACTATGAGGGTAATCCACCACCCGATTCATGAAAGCACCCATAAAAGCACCAAAGGCCCGGGTAGAACCAATCTGGCCTGAAAGAGTCTCGAGGTTCTTTCGCCTTTCTGGTTCTTTCAAAGGATCGTCTTGAAAATCACCCAGCCAGTCGGTACTTCGTCCATGGGGACGAAACCCGAAAATCACTGCAAGATCAAGAACGGAAATCGACATGGGGCCAACGCCGAAGTCAAAGGTGTTAGAAGCACTGTTCCAAAAAATCAAAGAAGACCCAAAAGAGGCGAGTCGGCCTGAAGTTGGAGAGTAGAGCAAGTTATGGCATGATAAATGCCATTATCATGCCAACAATCTTTATAAATCGGTTCCATTTTCGCCACCCAGTTAGCCCAACGAAGGTCAATACTAGACACATCGATCTTTGGAAAAAACCGAGGAAGCACCTTATTCCAATTCGACCAGTCGATACCTTCGGCATGGCAAACAGAAATAGGAGCCCGAATGGGATGAGTTTCATAATTCCAAAGTTGGCCGGGTTTTCAATCCACATACCTAGGGCCCAACACGCAGTAATCATTCACAAAAGTGACACGATCCTTGCAAAGAAGGGAATTCACTCGCCCAGCATCGAACCTATAGACCCAGTTGTCAAAAACGACTGCAAAAGACGCTACGCCAGCGCCCGAAATAAAATCAGGAGGGTTCGGAAAAGTTCCCTCTTTTGAAAATATGGTGCCTGACACTATCAAGGGAAGACAGAGGTATGGAAGAGAAAGGGAGACGTCAAATCACTTATTTAAAGCCTCGACATGACCCTTCACGACCCCCGTCAGACGGCAGGCCACTTCATCCTGCCACATGGCCAAAATTAAAAATTAGCCAGAAAGGGCATGGCGCCCCACGAAATTCACTCGAGTATGTACCATACGACGTGAAAAGACCCTTGGTCGGGTCTGGCCCGATTCCCAAATTTTTAGGAATGTTAAGGCATTCATGTCTTTATTCCTTAAAACTAATTAATTAACGGTTATTGGTATATTTATTTCTACTCATTAGAAATAAATAACCGTTGTTAATCAAAGCAAAAATTTAAAAAGGGCTAATTAATTACAGCCTGCAAGGGTACTATTCTAGAAAATAAGAGAGTTGGATAGTTTCTTTTTACAAAAGATAAATCCAAGCCCGAAGAAAAAAAGAAAAAAAAGAAAATTCAACCAAGAAATTCTAAAATGGTGACAATTAGATGTGCCAGCTCCTCCATATCGATATCTAGGGCACGTCGGGCAGAAACCATCATTTTTCGAGCCAGCCAAGCCCGAAAGGCCCGAGAAGTTATCTCTTGAGCAGTAGAGCCACTAGCAGTAATTTGGGCCCAAATGTCCTTCAGCTTAGCCTCCATCTCTGCCTTCAATTGAAGATCAGCAGAGATATCAGCCCTCAAGCCTTCTTCTTCCTTCTCCAAAACGTCAAGCTGATCTAAGACCTTTTCAGTAGCCTCATCCAAATCCACGAACCCTTCCTTGCGATCCCAGTGGTCCTCCAAAATCTCTTCTGGGTCCTTGGCAGCAGGAAGAATTTCTTTGATAATGCAAATGTGCTTCAGAGTCCTGCTCAACCACTGCTCCATATGCTTGCATGTAGGACCAAGATGGGGCTTTACCAGAGCAATCTGATGGATTTGAGGCAACATCCCAAATAGGGTGTCAGGGTCGGTCACAGGATCAAACTCGGGAGCTCGAATTATGTTCCAGAGAGACCTAAGATCATGTACCGCATTAGCCAGTACCACATCAGATCGATTCAGCTCCATGATAATGCGTTTGCCCGCAGCGCTAGTAAGATTAGATGAGTGTTCAGATCTAGGCCCATGAGGTCTCGAAAAAGAAGGTTCGGATCTAGACCCATGAGTCCCTGGCATGCCAAAGTCTCGAAAAAGGGGATCCAACCTCGAAAGTGCCTTCGCAGCAGCAGCAGAATCTGGACGGTCTAGTTCAGAAGGTGATTGATAAGGAGGAAGGTCGACTCCGTCCTCAAGTTTGATGGTCCTCACTTTCAATACCACCATTTTGGGCGCTTCAGAGACAAAAGGACCAAAAATCTCTTCCTTGCCCGGACGCTGCAAAGAACAAAATGGAAGTTAGAAAGGACAAAGACCGTGCTTAAAAGGCAAGGATTTGGGATTAAGTCAAACCTGAGACACTTCTTCTGGGCCCACCAGAAGTGCTTCGTCAGTATCAGCAGACGATTCTACCCTCGCCCTCTTACTTGCAACTTTAAAGAGAGAAATGCAGATGATATTAGAAAAGGGCAAGGGAAAATTCCACCAAAAAATACTAAGGGCCAAAAGAAAAACATACCATCCACAGGGATTGAATCACGATCTGGGGCTATGCGTTTCCTCTGAAGCGGGGTTTCATCATCATCATCATCACTATCTTCGTCATCCTCACTAGGACATTCCAAGGGAGCCTTTCCTTTGTTTAGCGATCTCGGGCTAGGGACAGAAGAAGGACTGAGAGAGCTAGGGGGCAATATTGGGTTGTTAGCATCATCGGGAATGGCATCTTGGACTACAAAAGAGGCATTGATACAGTTAGTTCCGCTCAGAATCTGAAAAGAGATCAACAAAGGCTTACCATTCGAATCAGGGTTACACAGCTCGTCGGTAGCGGTTTCTGTCAAATACCAAAAACAATCCAGATTGTTAGAAATGGTGTAACCAAGCTGGAATGACAAGCAAGCATTAGAGAAAGTACACTTCTACCTATTATGGCTTCGCCTTGGTAGTGCACCAGGTTGTGTTGCATATGATATTCTTCTTGTTCAGTCATCAATATGGCAAAAGGGCAGTCCTGGAATGTTGAAGCATAGAAGAGCTTTGCAGACTCAGGTAGCCAAGAAGATAGCCTATCTTGCCAGAACTCATGAAATGCAGAGGTACAAAGTGGGGAAGGATCGTAAGGAGGTACTCTCATTCTCTCACCTCGGCTCCGCCCCGAGGACCTCGCTGACCCAATTTCTTGAGGAGTCATCGACATATTCCGCCTTGAGCTCCCTCTATTAATTGAGCTATACAATAATTCGGGAATGGCCTGAACGAGCCCAAACTGACGACTCGCATATTGAGGATTGTAAGCTTCCGCCCCATAGGTGCAAGTTCTATCAGAACAAGCCCTTCCAAAGAAAATATCTCTGCTGGACAAGCAGGAAACACTCATGTCAACATGCAGCTGAGACTGAAAATCAAGAAGATGTTTCCAATGACGAGGAGCCTCATGGAGACCTCTCTCTGCAAACCAAAACATGGATCCCAACAGGGAACGAAGCCAGATTGCCTTAGGACACTGCCTACACTCTCTGAAGAAAATAAAACACTCTGCAGTACTGACCAACCTTCTCGACCTAGTAGCCAATATAATGGCAGGAGCATCACCCTCTTGAACATCTTCTTCCAAAAACTCCAAGCCTGCACTTCCCAGCTCTGGGAAGTACCACTCCAGCCACATCTGAAGCATCCAAATAGGGCCACATACATTTAAGTCGAATGGATCAACAGTAATCCGATAAAGACAATGGTATAGTGACGCCAACATAAAAGGCCCGGTTGCCAAGTCTGATTTGTTGTGAAGAGCTTCAGCCAAATACATAAACTCAGTTCTGACGCCTTCATCAGCATGAGGAAAAATGAATTTGTTCAACCAAAAAAGCAGAAACATCATGTGCTCCTGATCTGGATCATCCACACCTTGATAGGTCATCACGAAGCCCGAATACGTCCTCAGATGCATAATCTCGGACGCTCTAGCCTTCATTGGAACCCTAACTTTCCGATTCTTCAGTTTGAAATCAGATACAGCATCGATACTAAGCCCATGGGGTCTAAAGCCAAACAGGGCCGCCACATCTAGAACGGTGGGAGTCATGGGCCCAGGGCCAAAGGCAAATGAGTTTGAAGTACTATCCCAAAAACACAAAGCGGCGCTTATCAGCGAAGGGTTCAGAGTAACCTGATGTTTCGACAACATGATGGCTTGGTAAATGCCATTCAGCATCCATTGGTCCTTAAATAAGGGCACCATTGCATCTACCCAATCGGCCCAAGAAAGAAACTCCTATGGAAGAGGAATGGAGGGATCTAGACCCAGCCGTTCCAAATGCGCATCCCATGACCCCCAGGTGACGCTCTCTAGACCATAGGCGAAAGGCACTCTGACCAAGCAAGCGTCCAAAGACAGCAATTTTTCGGGCTTAGCCCGGTAATTATGCGGGCCCAGAAACGGACTCTTATAGGGACCTCTCAAAGTCAGTGGGAAAGGGGAATATAGTCTCTCCGGATTAACTGACTGTACCTGCACAAGAGCAGTCTGAAAATCGCTAGCATGTTTTGCGGCTTCTTCACCAGACATCCAACGAGGGTTTGCAGTAGAGTTCTTAGTACCCTTCAAACGTCTTGGAGCCATGGCAGTTTTTTTTTCTCAAGGAAGGAGAAGTAGCGAGGGAATATGCTCAAAAACAAAGTTCAAAGAACCGGAAATGGGGAAGTTATCTTTTCAGCAGGCCGAATTAATTGCTAGACGTGAGACGTGGAGACAGTTGATGTATTGCCACCGCCATGATGGCGCGTACTTTTCAAAAATTCGTACCGTCACAATAAGACATAGCCAGGAAGCTAAAGGGTCTAATTTTGATAGACTTGACCCAAGCCCATCAAAACTAGGGGGCAATGTTTGTACCCAATTTTGGTAAAAGGGCCAAAAATAGTCATATTATTTGAAAAATGCAGTCAGGCCCATTTGCACTCCTCCATCTCCCAAAAACCCCCACTTTCGAGTCTGGGCATGTCTGAAATAAATAACTAAACAAGCCCAAGGTCAGAAAAGTCAGGCTTTAACCTTATGCTACACGACAAAAAGTGATGAGTATGACTAGACCCACGTGGGAGGCCGAAGGAGATTATCACATTAAATGGCGAATGGACTTCTTGCTCGCCCAGCAAGAAAGCACGATGTACTTAAGCCCCCAAAACCAGAAGATCAAAATCACCAGCTAGGTTTTTAAAGTTCGAGAAAGTCAAATCAAGAAAACTCCACAAGAAAGCTGGCGATCCTTACCAAGAGCCCTCCATCATTCCCTCTATAAACTGGTTTAGAACAGCAAACCAGCGGCTGATCCCGAGTTACAAACCAGAAGTCTTGTCGAAAGTGCTATCATTACAAGTTCATCCTCCCCTATAAATAACAAAGGTCTACTTTAGGAAAAGGGGACTCTCTCTCCAAAACTAGACGAAAAGTCTTCAAAAAACTCTCTCAAAATCATAATCTGCTTACTTTGTTCTTAAGATATCCAGTCAGCAAAATCTGTGATTATCTCTCGTAGCTCTGCTATCACCATGGTATGATTTTCTTTTAAAAGATAAATTGTTTCAATTCATGTAATCTCAGGACTGGATTGAGAAATCTCCAGGTCCTCTTGTTTTTCTTCATTTTTATTTTTATTACTTGCTTGTTCGGATATAAGGGTGAATTGATGAAACAACCGATGAATTTTCTGTGGTTTAATTTGAGATTGCAAATAACTCACAAATTGCACAAAACTTGGTAATTAATTAATTAACCGATAATTTGATAAAACAAGTTCTGAATCATTTTTAAGAAAACGTCTAAAATTGGATTCCCGCCTCCCTGAAATTTGAAAGCCCAAGAAATTGATATTCGGGCCCGATAAGAACAGGAGCCCGAATGATAAAGTAAAAGAAGGGATAGGAGGTCTATTTGGGTCCGATTACTATGCGCAAGCCCGAATAGTTACTAGTCGAGTCCAAAACGGGAAAATATTGAAACAGATCAATAAAACCCAAGCAGGGTCTTTACTGATCATAAAACTTGGTCTTCCTCTATTACCTGATCAAGTGTTGCTCGCACTAGGGTAATAATAACCAAGAGAAGAATATTCAAGTCCTCCCAGCAGAGGCAGAGAAAAGAATCCATCCAAGCCAGCACCCCCCCTGGAGCACAATGGCCTGATAAGAAGTCCAGAAAGAAGGCGCAAACTTCACAAATATCACTCATAAATACTCATACCAGATCTATTGGGTTGGTTGTTTATCCAATAGTGGCACGCCTACGCTACAACAAAATCAGTAGCCTCAGGAGCTGTTCGACAGTACTTCGGGCTCTAATAGCGAGAGATTGAAAAGATCACCCTCGCAAAGCGAAGAGACACCATCCAAACGGGGCACAACCTGGTGTTGATCCATCAAAACTCTGCCTTCGTTCCCCAGAGCTGAACTGACCCCCGAGGACGGTAAAAGGACGAAGAGAGGAAAAAAGGACCAACACAAGCATTCTTTAAGTACTTACATTCCTTATTCTTCTTCTTTTTCTTTTATATATATCTGGATGTACCACGCCAGTATACCAATAGGAAAAATAACAAATCAGAATCAGCTTAAGTTTTTCAATAGGAAGAATATACATTACCAATAGGGTACAGAGGTTTTACCATGGTGGCGCCTTTCACTTGTTCTTTTCGTTGCTCGATCTTTGTATGTAGCGGGCAGAGCCCAAAACAAAGTCAAACAAGTTCAAGGCTTGATCCCAAATTCTTTCTCACACGCTTATCTTCACCAAGAATCACAACATATTATCAGGGATACAAGCTTCTTAGAAGTTACAACATTACGAAAGTTATACATTACCACTTACACGTACCATCAAGAAGTTATGTCCATGATTTCACTTTCCTATCAAATATTCCTCTTCCAAGTAGAAGAATTTATGCCCTTGATTTCACTTTCCTGTCAAATATTCCTCGTCCATAAGTAGAAATGTACATCTCAACTAGAAGAGGAAATTGCATCCAAATAAATAAGGTGACTGGAACACTAGCAACGACAATCATTGGAATAACAATCCACAATTGTTCATGGATCATAATGAAAAGGGCGGAAGAAAAGGCAACCATCATGGTGGCAATAGAGATGAATAAGGTGGAAAGACCTATTATCATCTTTGTTGGTAAGGATTTGAGGAAATCATCTTCCGCATAACGTGATGTAAGGATTCCCAAAAACATCAACACCGAAGTTGTGGAAGAAAAGAGGGATATAGCATCTGAAACTATAAAAGCCATAAACAACTTTTTATGCAGGAATATTGGGAAGCCTGTTTGTCCATTGTTTCCACCGGGAATTGTGAATGCTGCAGCAAACATGATGGTAATAATGAGAGCACCTACAACTGTACATGAAGATGCAGTTTCTTTCATCCATCTTTCTCCTTCCTTCGCCAATTGGTTGTGATTCTTGGTAAACATCTCACGTGGCATCTTATGCTCCTTATTTAAAGATTCTTTAACCAAGGGTACTACAATATTCTCGACCTCCTACATTTTGTTGAACAAAAGATTCATATGAGTATAAGCGTTTATTATTCTAATTTTCCAACTAACCCTTGAATTTTTTAAATTTGATGGGCCATATAAACCTAAACCATTAGAGAACAGAGAAGACAATTTAAATTAAATAAATTGAAACATTAGTTTTCAATATTGGAATGAATAAATTTAACTCTGCTGACGACTTGTTTACACTTTTTTGTAACTAAAAACGAACCCATTTTAGCCAACAATTTATGTTAGAAACTAATTCCCACAATTTCCAAACAAAAAATGGTCTTTAGAATATATATTGGAAACTAATTAATAAGAGGGAGAAAAAAAACTAACACTGAATTATATGTTCTGACCTTGAACCATTGTAGTTCTCTCTGCATTTTCAAAGCTGCACCTGAGATATTATCGAGCCTTGCGAATGGTGAAAGCGTCCCTGCCACATGTAGCGCGCAATTGTAATCCCGATCTACAATATTTCCAATCGCAGTTCTTCGTCTTTTACTGAGTTTATAATAAAAAGGTTATAAACTTTTTCTTGACGACATTCAATGGCAAACTGAAAGAGGTTCCTTCCCATTGAATTACACGCCCACACGAGATTTGGTCTTGCTTGCAATACACGGTCAATAAACTCAAACATTCCTAGCGCGGTAGCTCCGAAAACTGCTGGAATGAGAAAGTCGTTGCCAATTTCAGACATATTATCTTCATGTTCTATCACTTCACACATATTATCTAGGAGTTCAAGGGCTTCAATATGGGTCAATTTCATTTCTCGTAGGCGTTTGATTCCTAAGTTGGCATTGGAAAAACATGTCATATGACTAATTCAAGGAAAAAAAAATAAAAAACTTTTAAAACAATTAATGGAGAACAAAGGAAATATGGAAACAATGTAGCATACCCAAAATTTCAAGGAGATTTGTGTTCAGACCTTGCAAGAAACCTAGCACTGCAATGGAAATTCAAAATCCAAACACATGATGGGGGTAGCTGTATATATCTCTGTCAATTAGATGACAAAATGGGTGCAGAGCAACGTTCAGATAGTAATAGAATCGTTATGATCAACTAGTGATTCAAAATGAAAAGGTCCCTAGTTCTTGAAGCAGAAGCTAAGTTTCGTCAACTTTCTCCAATTTCTAATCCCTTTTTAAATCTAATTCTAAGCAATGAATGAGTGATGGTTGACCGACAAATGTTTTAAAAAATTTGCCTACTGTTAGTGCGAGTCCACTAGACAAGAATTCTATAGTGAGGTCCTTAGATTAAGGCACTGACTATAGGATGACTCCTCCACTTCATGTTAGTAGGGGGCTGTATAAAATAGCCCACTAGATGTGGCATCCAGAACCACCCAAAATGAGGCTGTGGGTCAGAGTTGGATTTTCCTGGGAGTCGGTTGAGGTGCAAGGCCCCAAGGGCGGAACCATAAATTTTTCAATGAGTGGACTAGCTAAAGTTATTAGCTTAAAATCTAATGATAATTTTTTTTTGTACTTACATTTTCTATAGTTTTACTAGAAATAAAAGTACACATTAAATTATATAAATCACGCTAATTGTAAACACAAGAAAAAAATGAAATTAGAGCCATATTATTCACAAAAGGGTGAATTTCATTTAGAATAATGCTTCTCTTTTGGAGACAAATTAATAGATAATTTTTAAAATTGATGTTGGGACAAACTTTTACACCAAATACAAATGTGAAAGACCCCATATTATGCCTATTGGTGTTGAAATTGTATATTTATTTATTTATGGTTAAAATATTAGGCTATGTGTGTATTTAATTTTTTCTATTTTTCCAAACCTTCCTGGGCTACAGCCAAGGGTGGCCCTTGCCTTGGTTCCGCCCATGTAGGGCCCACAGAAACCAAATATTGACTTTTTGGACAGTTGGTCTCTTTTGTCATGTTTTTTGTACTTGCATTAACATGACACAGTTCATGTAAGTTCATACCATATTAGTGTAGATTGGTTTCCTTCGATTGTCTTCAAACCTATGCAATGATAAATTCTTATTTGTTCATCAACATTACCTATTCTTCACTATACTTAATGCAAGAAAACAAACAAATTGGGTGTAATATTAGAAACTATAAGAACAGTTTGATAACATATGAAAAAATGATTTCCATTTTGCCAGATAAAACCCAAGTCTTACATTTAAGTCGTAACATACCTGACCAAGCGATCTTTGTTCGATTATGTTCTTCATTTCCTTCATTTGGAACACTTACACGAATATCATTGATGGCGCAATCTATGTGTATACCTTTCAAAAAAATTACAGTAATTAACCTCAATCAATATATTTCGAATAACTATTTCTATTACAATTATGGATATCTCTTTCATAATCTATTTGCATATATATGTTGTATATGCATGTCCCCTCATGGGGTTGAGATCTGATGTCCCCAAATTTCATGTACCCTGTATAGTATTTTGACATTTGTCCAAACACTTAATTAAACTTTAACTCTGTTAAGCTTTATTATTTTTAAAGAGTGCTGCTATTTCCACTCATATGTCCAAACACTCATCAATCTAAGGCCCAGTTTGGAATTGCTGTCACTTTTAAAAAAAAAGTTGTTTATACTGTGCTTTGAAATTAATTAGTTGTAAAGTAAAGCAGCTCTATGTTTGGGAAACAATATTTTTAAAGTGCTGTTAGTACAAAAAGCAGTGTCAAAACCATTTGGTAAATTTTAATATAAAATTGTTGTAACTGTGAATAATGATAATAGACATGATGTTGAAAGTGTTATGTACTAATCATATGGTGGTAATGGTGGTGATAGAGTGGAGGTGGTGGTGAAATAGATGGAGGTGAAGGTGGTAGTGGAGATGAAGGTGGAGTTGGTGGTTGTAGTAGTGGTGGCGGGTGGCGATGGCAGTGGTGGTGGTGGTGGAGGTTTTGGAGGAGGTGGTGGTTGTGGTGGTGGTGGATGTGGAGGTTTTGGAGGAGGTGGTGGTGGAGGAGGTGGATGTGGCTGAGGATGTGGTAGTGGAGGTGGTCAATGTAGTGGTGGAGTTGGATGTGGAAGTAGAGGCCATGTCATTTTTTAAAATGAATGATGGTATTTTGGGAATTAAAAAAATTCATTAAAAGTTCATCTCTACTTCTTTTGAAAGCACATTTGAAAAGCAACCCAAAGCCTACTTTTAAAGGTTGTTGTCAAAAGGCCACTGCTTTTAAAATAATCTAGATATTTTATTTTTACCAAACACCTTAAACTGCTTAACTTTAAAGTAAACCAGGTTTTTGACCAAAAAAAGCAATCACAAATGGGATCTAAGTGAAGGGCCATTAGCCTAGAGTTATCAACTAGGTGAAGTAGCCAATAGCTACACCACTAGGAGGCCAATTAGCCTAATTCTATGTACCTAAGGTGTTGTACTATTGTTCCAATTTTCCTAAACACATAAACCAATAATAGTATCAGAGTATCACATTACAGTCTAAATTGTAATTGTAAGAGGAAAAGAAAATGTGGATACTAACTATCATAGATCCTTTGTTGCCAGAATTTGAGGTGTGTTCCACTCGGAAATGCAGAAGGCCCAAATGCTTCTAACGGAATTGCCCCATTGTGGTCTTTAGTAAGGACCAATCGTGGGCAACACCGAATTAATTCCCGAGCCATACCTGTAGTAGAGAAAAAGAAATTTTATTATAAGGAAAAAAAACGAGTTATCAAATTAGTTGTTATAAGATTAAAATTTTTACCAAATTTCCTTCCAGTTATAAAGAAGTAAATAAGTGCCGCGCCGTATGGGCCTTTTTCTGGCATTAGATCCTCGATGGGAGTGACGGAGTAAAGATAATGAACGACGTCCCAATGGTCATTGATAGAAGCCATGAGAATTGGAATCAAATTCTGGTTAGTGGTAATACTAAGTATTTTCTTGCTTTTTCCAACCATGCATTCAACCATTTTGATATTTCCTCTTTGTGCAGCAAGAGCAAGAGCTGTCAAACCACAATTATCTGTTATTTCCAAGTCTTCCTCGGACATCAACTGCACCAACTCTTCCACAATATGCTCGTGCTCTAGTTCTGTTGCCATGTAAAGAGCTGTGTTGTTTGAGTACGGATGTCTTGCTCTTATTGCATCGGGATGTAGGGTAAGAAACTCCTTTGCTTCATTCCAATCCCCACGCCACACTGCATCGAACAACGGCTTATACAGACTCTTGTCATATCCTGCACCAAGTTTGTGTTAATTAATTAATTATTTCATATAGCATAATCCACTTATTTTTTGTTTTAATAATTGAAAATATTGTACCCATGCAAGCATAATCTTTTTTTTTAATTTTTTATGACTTTGAGGGCCACTATTTGCCGACATCTTGAATGGAATAGGAATATGATTGTGGGTAGTTTTATGATTCATGGAGGAAATTGGCTATTTAAAAATAAATAAATAAAGCCAAAGGGGTAAATTGACACCGTTAGATTTAATTTCCACATTGTTGCACATGTAATTTGCATAAGGATATAAATTTCTTTTCGTATACAGTAATACAGGGAGACCAAAATGTAAAAGAAATAAAAGTAAAATGATTAGGAGTCCTTAATATAAGCAGCATAAATTGTGGTCTTGGTATATAATATATATTTTATTTGAGCGACACCCTACGATTTTTTTTTCAACAATTCAAACCGTCTATTTTTTAAGTCTTAATTCTTAGATCATCCTTGAAAAAGTCAGAGAAATTGAAAATCATTAAGGCATCTAATTGAGACCGACAAAATCAATGAACACGATACTTATAAAAAATACTTAAATTTCAATAATTTGAATGGTCAAATGATATTAAATGAATATCTACAAAATAGGCGGTTTGGATGAGTGAAATACAATGCAGAGAGGTTCTTACAAAAAGTGTCCCTCAAATAAGCTTATTTGAGAGATCCCTTATATATATATACAGGAAGCTTCCATTGAGGGATCCCTCAAATAAGCTTATTTGAGGGACACCCTTTGTAGGCCCCACTCCGGATTGTATTTCACTAATCCAAACCGTCTATTTTGTAGATACTCATTCAAAGATAATCTCTACAAAAAATCACTTGAATCCGATATCATTTGACCATTCAATTAATTTATTGAAATTTTAGTACTTTCTTGAAGCACCATGTTCATTGATTTTGTATGACACAATTGGATGTCGAAACGGTTTCCGATTTGTCTAATTTTTTGTAAGGATGATCTATGAATGAAGATCTAAAAAATAGATTGTTCGGATCATTGGGAAAAAAATTGTATGGTACCCTAAAGGGCGTCCCTCAAATAAAATTATTTGAGGGATCCCTCAATAGAAGGGGATATATATATATATATATATATATATATATATATATATATATATATTTCTTGGTTAAGTAGAATATTTAATTTTCACATATAGAGAACCAAGTACACCCGGGGGGTTGTTTGATGAGGTTCAAGATTTGAACTGGTGACTTACTTGGAAGAAATGGTTTTGGCTTGAAGTTTTCTGCCAAAGTATCCCAAGCGCATTTGGCTGAACTGGTGTTTCTAATGAGGGAAGAAGCTTCCCGCCCGCACGAAATTTGGAATGTATGTAAAGCCGTGGCATTCTTCTCCCTCCAAGCTTTGAACTTATCATCAGCTTCTTCTTCTTCTTCGTCTTGTTCCACTACATCCCAAAGGTCTTGAGCCAGCAAGTAAGTTTTAACCCATACACTCCAATCCACATAGTTACTGCTATCAAGAAGTTCCACAACAGCTGCATCTGCGGAGACGGCCATTCTTACCAAGGGCTTACTTAGGAGAGGCTTTGCAATTTCTGTTTTATTTACTATACCCAATTGAGTGAAGAACCACTTGTTAAGGCAATGGGGGTCTGCGAAGGGTGGTGAGGATTATGTGATTATCTAATTTATTGTGATATATATATATATATATATTATATACGCACGCTACTGCCACCAGTTACTGCCGGTTCGTTTCTGCCTGTGTTTGATACTGGCAGGGTCTTTTTTAATTGACACTTTCTTTTCTCCGACCTCATTATGAATTGACCAATAGAAACGCAGAATTTCACTTATACCGTCTGAAGCTAACTCCACTTAGGACACTTTTTCTCTCTCTTTATTTTTTTTATTTTTTATCTTTTCTCCTCCGTCTTCTTTTTGTCTCTTTGATATGTGTCCTTTTTCTTTTAATTGTCAGTTTTTTTTTTTCACTTTTATTATGCTGGCAACTATTGTAATCTCTCAACAGTATTTTTTTCCCACTTTTATTTTTCTCAACTGAATTGTTTTTTAAAATTTTTATTTTCCTTTATGAGTCAAAATTTGAAGTCTTTGTGGCTCTTTCCAACTCTAAGGCCATCTCCATTTATGGGAGGCAAAACCCAAAATTTGGTATTTTTAGCCCAAAACATTCTCCAACCCATGTATTTGGAGGGGGGAAATTTGAGTTGACTGAAAAAAAGGTCAGAATTTGGCCCCAGATTCCAGTCTAGGCAAAATTTTTGTGGGGCCCAATTCACAACAAACAAGAGCCACGTGGGACCTCATTTGAAGCAAATGAAGGGTTGTTGCCCACCATGTGGGGCCTCTTGGTATTACAAATACGGTTGAATACCATCTCAATTCTTACACATTATTACCAAATGGGTCTAGCCGAGTGGGCTGCAAAAAAAAAATTTCTGGTGCAATTCCTCATCACCATTAACTTGCATTGAAATTAACAAATTTAACCAAACCATTATAATTATAATGGTTGAAGAGAATTTATCTTACAGACCAGATGTCTCAGGTTCGAATCACCATGACATCCTAGTTGTGTGTGTGAATTTAGACTATTTCTTGTACTACAACATATATATAACGTGTTAAAGTATTGGTGAAACAAGGACGGTGCTTTTTCATTCCAAGCATTCTTTAATACAAGCCTGGGTGAGGAAAGGAACAAAAACAGAAACTGGATCGGTGTATGTGTGTGAATGCTGTATTGTCATGGTCTTTGTTTAGTTAGCATATTGTCTAGTTCTTGTTTTTGCTTGTATAGTCTTTGTTCACACATGTGAATCTGTGACTTAAAATAAAAAATAAAAAATAAAAAATAGCCCACCGAGTATGTCTACTAATAGTCTTTGTTTATATTAACATCTAGATGGTCACAATTAAAAAAGAAATGCAATAGAAAGTGAGGAGAAACTAAAGGACAATGGAGATGAATAGGAAGAGTAGAAATCTCACTTCAGTTCGGGTGACCATTTCAACTTTCCATTATCCGTCTGATATCAAATTGGGTGATTCTATGGACCGACACCCTAAAATAATCTTTAGACACCAAGCCCCCACATTTTCGGTTTATGAAATACTCACTGCTTAAAAGTTGCATATATCTTATCAAAACCGAGTCCTCTCCCCAAACTTTATACTCCCAAGTTCCAAGAACAATGATATTGCCAAAAAAATAAAAAAAATAAAAAGATGAAATAATTCAACACTTTACTGGACCATGGAAGAGCATTTTCTTCTCATCACTGTTGCCCGACTCTTTTGTATTGGTGTGTGTGTACAGCATTCTTCTTCCTCCAATCCTTGAACCGATGGGTCATCTTCTTCTGATTTAAGAGTTTCAACTGAAGGCTCAATGACATTCCAAAGGTCTTGAGCCAACAAGTAATACTCAAATAATCTAATACGAAAATACTATAGATAAAAATTTCTGCTACTAGCATCCCAATATCTGCTAGTAGGTCCAGCGTGAAACTTAAAGTGGAGCCTCACATAATCTAATACGAAAATACTATAGATAAAAATTTGCCATAACTTAATGTCATAAACAATTTTTTTTTAAAAGTAAAAGTCACCATCAATAAACATGTAATAACAATTAAAAATCAAATTCATAAAAATTAAATGTTTCCATTTGATAAAGTTAAATATTAGTATGTTTGGAACAAAAATAAGCTCCTTGTGCCCCTATAAGGTCCCTTGTTGCCTCTAATAAGCAATCTTTGTTTAATAGGAAAAACAATTTGGCAATCACAAATTAAAGAGTAGTTGCACACAAATGTCATTAACAAATTAGATTATATTGCATTAAACACAAAAGCAACAATAAAAACATACATGACTATCCACAAATCTTTCACATTGTATTTGTTGTCTTTATTTGAGGAATTTAAACTATTATGAGAACTTTTCCCAAAAAAAAAAAAAAAAAAAAAAAAAAAAAAACACAGCCTACAATACTAATGTCTGAAAATTGATCTTCTTGAATTTTTAGAAGAGAAATCATCACTCAAATGTTCATAATCAAGTTTTTCTAGAAGTTCACTTTCAATTGAAATCAAAGCTAGGCTGTTTAATCTTTCTTGCAACATAGTTGATTGCAAGTATAATTTTAACAATTTTAATTTTGAAAAACTTCTTTTCTGCAAATGCAACAGTGACAGGAATAGCCAATAGAATTCTATATGCAATGAATGCATTTGGAAAACAATTTAGTCTTTTCAAGAAATTTAATATTGCAATAGCTGTGATTTTTTCTTTTAGACTGATATATTGTAAATTTTGAAACATATTAGGGGACACACGTAGAACCACACTTTTTAACACACCATTTAAATTATCAAATTAAGTAAGTTTCAATGATTAGAATTGCACTTGTTTAATGGGCAATCCCTTTCTTTCACACATCATTCAAATTTAAAAACAAACATTGGGGACAACCTAGCAGCCCAACTTTTAAGACTATTCATTATTTTATTATATTCTCTCTCCCCTCTCTTCCTTTTTTTGTTTGATGGGCAATCCTTTTCTTTCATCTTCTATCTTCTTTCTAGCTACTTTCTCACACACACTCACACCCTCAAAACGTTTCCAACGAATTCCTTATTGAAAAGAGTTTTGTAGTTTATTTTCCTTCTTCATAACATTTGGTCATGGTTGCTGTAAAAATGCTAATAGTATTAGCGTCCATGAAATTAATGATTTCAAACAGTGAAAGAAATATAGATTTTCCCTAAAGTCACTCAGCTCAACAATAGTGAATGGAGGTCGGGAACCACCGAACACTGATTTGAGCATGAAATGAATTAGACTTCGAGTAAAGAATGACTTGTTAATTGTCAGTCTTTGTTTAATAAGCATTTTGTCTAAGTCTTTGTTCACATGTGGATATCAGAAATCTCAGCAAAGATTTTTTGTAACAAAACATATTTTTAAAATCCGAATTGATACACAATACTCAAAAAGTACTTGACTCAAAAAGCAAACAAAAGACTGAAATTTGAAATTATTAAGGTATAATAGTCGACGATGGAAGGTATTAGGTAAGGTCCAGCAAAATAAAATTTTGAAATTATACAGAAATCATTGTCGATGATTGTAGGAATTATTAGGTAAGGTCCAATAAAATAAAAGGATTCGTTAATTTATAGGACTAACTCGTCAAAATCCATGGCCAATATGTAGTTGTTTAATAGAAACTTGTTAAACTAAGAATATCTCCAAAAGCCTGAGGACAAAACCGAGTAAGTAGTTATTTGCATCATAATTTTATTAAAAACATATCCATGTGAGCGCCTTGATGTTTGTGTAAATGGTTGGGACGTATTAGATAAATGCAAAATTGAGAGACATTTGACAGAATTATTGTCTTTTATTTATTAAAGAAATTGTTACAAAGGAGGTACAACATTTGGATCGGTTTTGGAAATAGCATGCGGCAATGGTGAGGTTGAAGGTGCTAGGATTAAGAACATCTACAATTTATCTTACAAATTAGAGGTCTCAGATTCGAATCACCATGACATCCTAGTTGTGTATGTGAGTTTAGAACATGTCTAAAATATCGAGAAAAAGCCCGGCTTGTTATTGAGTGGGCTGGGCTTGGGCTTGGGTGTCTAAAGCCCGGCCCCTTTGAGTCCAAGAAAGCCTGACCGGCCTATAAAAGCCCAGTCCACGGGCTCACATACATATAAATAAGTATATATATAAAAAACCCAAGTTAAATGAAATATGGAGAAAATCATTATCTATTATCATTGTAAGAACTGAAAAAAAAAAGTGAAGTATGACATAAAATATGATTTTATTAATATGGGGTTGTATAACTATATCTTTATATTTATGGGGAGAAAAAAAAAGAACTATGAAGTTATGAACAAAGAAAAAAAATATGGAGACATAAACATATAAACAAATGTAAATATAGAACTATGAAAAAAAGAGGAAACATAGAAAAAAAAATACATATTAAAAAAAGACAAAATAAAGTAGGCCCAGCCTGCCATATGGGCTTTTTCAAGCCTGGCCCATGGGCTAGGCTTAGACTTTGAATTTATAAAAAAAAACCCGACTCAGTCCATTATTTTCTCTCTCCTCTTTAAAGCCTAACCCGACCCGTCCCATTGATGATGCTTACTCTTCACACCAGGCTTGGACTTTGAATTTATAAAAAAAAACCGGCCCAGTCCATTATTTTCTCTCTCCTCTTTAAAGCCCGATCCGACCTGGCCCATTGACGAGGCCTACTCCTCACAAGAACTTCTTACTGTCACTTAACTTCTTGACTTCTTAATTGATTACATTAATAAGCTTCATGCCCACTTATAAAAGTAGTAACCGACTTATGTAAGTCGGCTTTATATAGTTAACCCACCTTGAAAAAACATCCCAGCCACAAGTTCAACCGACCTTGAAAATATCTTAAAGGTTCCAGGAATTGTGTAGGCTGTTTGGTGTTGCTTACTTTGCTGGGTAGACTTCACTTGTGCATTCTAGATTTTTCTACTTTTATTTGTGCATTATTATTTCTATGGCCTGACTTTTACTTTTCTTGGGCTAATTAATATGTTTGTGGGCTGGGGTTGATATTTTAACACTAATCTCCTTAATCACGGAAAAAGCATCAGGCCCGCACTAAATTTGGATTGCGTGTAAAGCCTTGGAAGTCTTCTTTCTCCAAGCCTCGAACTGACAAGCGTTTTCTGGTTTAGGACGTTCAGCTGTACCCTACACTACATCCCAAAGGCCTCTAACCAACAAGTAATTTTTAACCAATGCACTCCAGTACTCATAGTTATCTTCCACAAGTTTCACCATTCTTACTTGTTGCTGCTCTTTTTGGGAGGTCAACTTAGAGAGTAGGTGATAGTGAATGATGGGTGAAGGTGAGGACCTTCACCATGTGTGTGAAGGCTTGGGCAAGCGATAAATGTAAAGAAGACAAGATGTACATGGTTCAACCTTAATGAATGGGCTACGTTCACGGAGAAGTATGTTCTCATTATAATAGTGTATGATTACATTTGTACATGGGGTTGGACCCGAATATAAAGATGACAAATGAGGTGCCCAAGTCAGGGATCTATAAGAGAGTCCTCGGCCCTAGGGTCTAGCTCTGAGACCCGAATCCTCTTTTAAGTGGAGAGAAGTCCCCCTTTCACATGGATACTATTCCCTATTTATAGGGAGGTGAAAGTGGGATGTTTGTGTAGAAATTCGATGTGAGACTTTGTGCAAGTCGTTGTGGTGGTGACACGTGTCTTTGGTGAGATTCGAAGGTTCTGCAGGTACGAGTTTGTTTGCTAGGAACTGGGTCTGTAATCTGCTAGTTTCGCTGCTTCTGCCGTTCAGCAATTTCTCAAGTTCCGTCGTTCAGCAATCGTGGTATTCGTGAACCTTTAGCCAAGTTGAGCGTGGCTCTTGCCGTTCGGCAAGGGTGGTCCTGAAACATTCTTAAAGTCCCCAAGGGGGGTGTGGTGTCGAGATTGTATGGTTTGGGCGCGTTGCTACCGTTTGGCAAGGTTGAAGAGGTTTTCTATTTTTAAGCTGCACAGCCCTTGCCGTTCGGCAAGGGTGTCCTGATCAAATCTCTAGACTTTTTGTCTTCGGCAGGTGTTGCTAGATTTCGTGGGCTGGAATCGTGACCTTGGTGATCTTTTCCTCGAGTTTTCACGGCCCTTGCCATTCGGCAAGGGTAAAAAGTGGCGGCTGAACCTTTTGGTAAGGCTTGGCTGATATGGATTTGATATTTGTTGACTTATGGCAGGTTTGTTGTGAGGTCTGGGGGAAGACCTACAGCAAGCTTGAGTTGGGGTGTCTTGATCACATTCGGACGTGAATGTGGGGTGTCTTGATCACATGCTGATGTGAATTTGGGGCTGAAATTTGGAGATGGGCTTCGAGATCATCTTCACGATGTGAGCAAATCTCTACACCTTCGGTAGCTTGAGGAGCTGGCCATTTGAGATTCGGTAAGCAAGAGACTTGAACACGTTGTTGTGGTAAGGGAGCTGGGCTGTTCGTGAGTTTTGCTGTTTTTTGGGGGACCAGATCTGCAAGTATCCTCGGGCCTACCGTTCGGCAAAGTGGTCTGGGTGCCCATCATAATTCGGTAGGTATGCTTTCATGAGACTCGTTCCCTTCTGCTCAAGGCTAGGGTGTCCTGATCAGTTTTTTGAATTTGTCTCTCTGCGTGATTCAGCTCTCATTGGTTTGAACAAATATCTCGGTGTTTTGGCAGATACTTGAGGAGCTTGCCATTTGAAATTTGGTATTGTGTTTTCGGCAAAGGTGCTTTGTGGTATCGGCAACTTTGGTTTTGTTATGTCCTTCTTGGAGTGCTAAAGACTTGTGAGCTGTTGTTGTCGTGGTTCGGAGCCTTTCTTGGTGTTTAGAAGGTGAGTCTTTTTATTCTTGAATGCCACCATTTAGTTTCTGCATAACCCTTGCCGTTCGGCAAGGGTGTTGGTTGTGAGAGTTCTGCCATGTCTAGAGATAGAAGGCATTCGAGGTCTTAGCCACTTTTAAGCCAAGTGCTGATCGGTAAGAGCTAATTGAATTTTTTTTCTTTGAAGCTTGTGGTGGCTTCAGCAAGAGAGCTTTCGGAGAAGGTCCAGATTTTTTTTCATGGGCCTTGCCGTTCGGCAAGGCCAGCTTCGGAAATTTGAATTAATGATTTTTATCCTTGTTGTATGTACCTTTGGCAGGTGTTATTTGGAGCTGGGAGTTGCTGATCTGAAGCTTCCAATTTCCAAAGAAGGCAAAGTGTGGCTGCTGCCGAACACGGTCAATCAGTCGTGTGCGAAGCATGTGGAGTTTTCTACGGCTGCCATTCGGTATCGTTGGGTGCCTTGAGAAATTTTCCAACTGTATGACAGATTGGTGAGAGTGGTATCTGGCTTCAAGCATGAGATAATTCTTCAATTTTGGGGCTGCCAAATGGTACTGGGTAGTATTTTGGAGGTGGATATGGCTTTTGAAAGCCATTGGCTGAAGCTAGATTATTAGAGATGAGCTCAAAGCATTGGGTGCCGATCTGGTCCTTGTATTTTGTCTTCAAATAAAAGAGTTTATGGGGGCTTCAGTATGGATATTCTATTGAATTGTTGAATAGCAATTGACAGGTGTTGAACAACACCTAAGCCACAAACTCATGGAAATGGACCATGTGGGTTGCCCCTTGGATTGGCATGTGGGCTTCCTTGGCCATGCAAGCCATGCAAAGTAGTTTTGTTTTTGGTTTGTCAAGTTTGTTTGAGAAGCTTTGGTACAAGGGTGACGCACTTGGTGCCATATCAGTATTTGTGGCTTTAACAGAGAGTGGAACAAGTCCCATGAGTTTGAGAGAAAGAAACTGCCGAACAGCAGCCGTGGGTCCTTGGCATATTCCCTGCTTTGTGCTGTAGTGCATGGTGGTGCATGTATAGCCCTTCAAGGCTGGGCAATGTTGCCCAACGTCATCTACCACACATGGTCTATACTAATATTTTAATGAAACTTGACATGCAACATTCCAAATAAAATATATTCAAAAGAGATGTGGTATGGTTCACTTATCTCTTTGAAGTTTCGTGGGCTTTCCTTGGATTGAAATATTAGCTTGCCTCCTTGTACATGCAAGCCATGCATTTGGAATACTTGGCCACCCATAAATTGAGACTTTCAACGTGATTGAAAGGTGGTTCCTTGGGCTGAAATGGTGGCTTCCTCTTTTGGCCATGCAAGGCGAGGTGCCGAAGGCATCGCTCACATCAGATAGGTTTGCTGAAGGCATCGCATGAGCCACATGATGACGAGGTGCCGAAGGCATCGCTTGGGCTAAATGATGACATGGTGCCAAAGGCATCGCTTGGGCTAAACGATGATGGGATGCCGAAGGCATCGCTTGCATCGAATAATGGTAGGGGGCCAAAGGCATCGCTTGCGCCTAATTTTGGCGGGGTGCCGAATGTGACACAAAGCTTGCGGATCGCAGAACAATGTGACTAGGCACGATGGTGCCAAAGGCTACACAAGATGTGGCATGGGCACGGGGGTGCCGAAGGTGACACAAGATGTGGCTAAGCACGGGGGTGCTGAAGGCAACATAAAGCTTGCGTGTCGCAGAGCGATGTGGCTAGGCATGATGGTGCCGAATAAGACACAAAGCTTGCATGTTGCAAGGAAATGTAGCTAGGCACGTGGGTGCCGAAGGCAACACAAAGCTTGCGTGTCGCGAGGCAATGTGGCATGGGGGTGCCGAAGAAGACACAAAGCTTGCGTGTCGCAAGGCGATGTGCCTAGGCACGTGGGTGCCGAAGAAGACACAGAGCTTGCGTGTAGCAAGACAATGTGGCTAGGCACGAGGGTGCCGAAGGAGACACAGAGCTTGCATGTCGCAAAACAATGTGGCTAGGCACAAGGGTGCCGAAGGGAAGGAATGCATATGTGCTTAGTGGTAAGTTACAAGGTGATGATTGAAAGGACGCCGAAGGGCACTAGAGGAAGAGAAGAACAACAAAGCTTCTTGTGTTGATTCCCACAGACGGCGCCAAACTGTTGATGCTCTTTTTGGGAGATCAACTTAAAGAGTAGGTGATAGTGAATGATGGGTGAAGGTGAGGACCTTCAGTATGTGTGTGAAGGCTTGGGCAAGCGATAAATGTAAAGAAGACAAGATGTACGTGGTTCACCCTTAATGAATGGGCTACGTCCACGGAGAAGTATGTTCTTATTATAATAGTGTATGATTACATTTGTACATAGGGTTGGACCCGAATATATAAAGATGACAAGTGAGGTGCCCAAGCCAGGGATCTAGAAGAGAGTCCCCGACCCTAGGGTCTAGCTCTGAGACTCGAATCCTCTTCTAAGTGGAGAGAAGTCCCCCTTTCACATGGATACTATTCCCTATTTATAGGGAGGTGAAAGTGGGAGGTTTGTGTAGAATTTCGATGTGGGACTTTGTGCAAGTCGTTGTGGTCGTGACACGTGTCTTTGGTGCTAGTCGCTTTGAGGCTGGATATGCTCGGTTGATTATGGTGTAAACATTACTGATACGAGCTGCTGAAAGCTGACCCAGCTTGCTATTTTTGTTGTTTTTGTATTTAGGTCTCAGATAAAAGTTTACAACATCTCATCTTAAAGTAGTGTTGGAAGTATCACGAGTATACTAATATTCCATCTATTACTTATACCCGTTTACTCTTTTTATATTTGAGTCTTGTTGTAAAATTCCCCACTAACACCATTTAACCATTTAATGGTTTCTGAATTAATTTTCTTTATACGAGCATGCCACTGTTGGCAGATGATAAAATACTGTTGGGGTTGAGTGCATTGGTGTATTAAGAATCAGGCCTTTTCTTTTCAAGCATTCTTTAAGTACTTACATTCCTTATTCTTTTTCTTTTTCTTTTATATATATCTGGAAGTACCACCAATAGGAAAAATAACAAATCAGAATCAGCTTAAGTTTTTCAATAGGAAGATTATACATTACCAATAGGGTACAGAGGTTTTACCATGGTGGCGCCTTTCACTTGTTCTTTTCGTTGCTCGATCTTTGTATGTAGCGGGCAGAGCCCAAAACAAAGTCAAACAAGTTCAAGACTTGATCCCAAATTCTTTTCTCACACGCTTATCTTCACCAAGAATCACAACATATTATCAGGGATACAAGCTTCTTAGAAGTTACAACATTATGAAAGTTATACATTACCACTTACACGTACCATCAAAAGTTAAGTCCATGATTTCACATTCCTATCAAATATTCCACTCCCAAGTAGAAGAATTTATGCCCTTGATTTCACTTTCCTGTCAAATATTCCTCGTTCATAAGTAGAAACGTACATCTCAACTAGAAGAGGAAATTGCATCTAAATAAATGAGGTGACTGGAACGCTAGCAAGGAAAATCATAGGAATAACAATCCACGACTGTTCATGGATGATAATGAAAAGGGCAGAAGAAAAGGCAACCATCATGGTGGAAATAGAGATGAATAAGGTGGAAAGGCCTATTATCATCTTTGTTGGTAAGGATGTAAGGAAATCATCTTCAGCATAACGTGATGTAAGGATTCCCAAAAACATCAACACCGAAGTTGTGGAAGAAAAGAGGGATATAGCATCTGAAACTATAAAAGCCATAAACAACTTTTTATGCAGGAATATTGGGAAGCCTGTTTGTCCATTGTTTCCACCGGGAATTATGAATGTTGCAGCAAACATGATGGTAATAATGAGAGCACCTACAACTGTACATGAAAATGCAGTTTCTTTCTTCCATCTTTCTCCTTCCTTCACCAATTGGTTGTGGTTCTCGGAAAACATCTTATACTCCTTATTTAAAGATTCTTTAAGCAGGAGTCTTACAATATTTATCGACGTCCTACATTTTGTTGAACAAAAGATTCATATGAGTATAAGAGGTTATTATTCTAATTTTCCAATCAACCCTTGAATTTTTTTAAATTTGAGAGGCCATATAAACGTAAACCATTAGAGAACAGAGAAGACAATGTTGACCGTAAAGTAACTAAATAAGCCATCTTAGTACTCCCTTTATTTCTAGTTTAACTCCTTCGACTACATTTTTGGCTGCATTGGCTTTCGACTAGAAAATGTTTAAATTACATAAATTGGAACATTAGTTTTCTCCCACGATATAAGAAATGACTCATTTTAGCCACAACAATTTGTATAAGTTGAAAAAGTATAAATTAATACAAATTTTGTTCATGTTTGTTTAAAACAGTATCCATCTATTTGAGGTACTACTTTTTTTTAACACAAAACAATAAAGTATAGAAAATCATATTCAGTGAGGAAAAGAAAAACAGAATGTTCACAGTATATACAGTATATCTTCTTAGATGTCTTATTGATTTCTGATTTTAACTAGTTTGTACCAGGATGACCGATTCCGATTCCCATTACCACAATTTCGAAACAAAAAATGGTCTTTAGAATTGTACTAATTCATAAGAGGGAGGGAAAAAAAAACTAACACTGAATTATATGTTCTGACCTTGAACCATTGTAGTTCTCTCTGCATTTTCAAAGCTGCACCTGAGATATTATCGAGCCTTGCTAATGGTGAAAGCATCCCTGCCACATGTAGCGCGCAATTGTTATCCGAATCTGCAAGACTTCCAATTACAGTCTTTGTTTTTTATCGAGTTTATAATAAATAATTCTATAAACTTTTTCTTGACGACATTCAATGGCAAACTGAAAGAGGTTCCTTCTCATTGAATTTGACGTCCACACGAGATTTGGTTTTGATTGCAATACACGGTCAATAAACTCAAACATTCCTAGCTTCGTAGCTCGGAAGACTGCTGCAGTTAGAAGCTCATTGATATCTTCATGTTTTATCACTTCACACATGTTATCTAGGAGTTCAAGGGCTTGAATATGGGCCAATTTCATTTCTCGTAGGCGTTTGATTCCTAAGTTGGCATTGGAAAAACATGTTATACGACTAATTCCAGAAAGAAAAAAAAATCCTTTAAAAATAATAATGGAGAACAAAGGAAAAATATGGAAACAATGTAGCATACCCAAAATTTCAAGGAGATTTGTGTTCAGCCCTTGCAAGAAACCTAGCACTGCAATGGAAATTCAAAATCTAAACATATGATGGGGATAGCTGTATGTATCTCTGTTAATTAGATGATGTATGATATGACAAAATGGGCAATTAATACGATTAATTGACTCCTAATTTAATACCAGGGCAACGTTCAGATAGTAATAGAATCGTTGTGGATCAAAATGAAAAGGTCCCTAGTTCTTGAAGCAGAAGCTAAGTTTCGTCAACTTTCTCCAATTTCTAATCCGTTTTTGACATGATTAAATAGCAATTATATTTCAATCTAAATTCTAAGCAATGAATGAGTGATGGATGACCGGTACACGCAAATGTTTTAAAAATTTTGCCTACCGGTAATGCGAGTCCAATAGCACCTACATATGTTGCGTTGGGGCAAACATAAGGCCATCTTCAATGGGGACTTAAATTAGGCTTTACCTCCTTGGGACTCCTAAATATAGTGTCCAAATAAAAAAGGGCGGTTATCTAGTGAGAACGCTTATGTGCGAACGTTATATGAGAACCAAATTCAACCATCCAAATTATCTGAACGGCTAAAGAGAAAAAGCAAGCTTACGGTAAAATGGATAGGCTACAGTTCCCCTTAGCCCAAGTGTCAAGTCGCGCCTGTTTCGAAAAAACACGCTTTTCTTCTTCCTGACAGTGGCCAGTCGCGCCTTTCTTGTCAATAAATTTATGAATTTATGAACCAACCCTAAACACCCAAAATACCTACCAGGCATAAATTTGTGTATTTCTCTTGTCGCAAAAACTCCCTGGTGTACTCTGTCTCTTTCGCTTCCTCCCTCATCTAATATTTCTCATTTGAACATCTGAGAAGATACGTTTCTCTCGAATTCCCTCTCTTTCAATCATATTAAAGTTTGCATGTTATATTGCATTTAGTTAATGTTTAAATCACTTAATGTTTAAATAATGTTTAGGATTTTAGGGAATTGATTTTCTGGGTAAGAGTAGTCTGTCTCTGTAGTAGTTGCGTTTGCAAAAATATAAATTGGCTTCAGTTGTTTTTTTGCGTCTTTTTCTAGTTTCTAGTAATTTGTTAAAGCATAGTAACTAATTTTTAAAGTTTTTCTGCGGTTTAAATATTATTTACTTTTTCCAAAAGTTGGGTTGTCTTTTTATTGCAATTTTTTATGGTAATTTGTTGAAGTGTAGATTCACAGATGTTGGTTGTTCCTATTTTTTTTTGCATTGTGCTTGCTTGTTGTCTTTTCTTAAAATTCCAGGAACCTTCATGTGTTGGTCATTGTAATCCTGCTTTGCCCATCTAGTGGTGTGAGTGTATGGCATCATTTTAGGGATTTAATGGGGTTTGGAAAACAAAGAATAAGTACCATTAGAAGTAGAACGCATAAGAGAAAATTGAATCTTAACTGTGAATATGAGATGATTTGGGATGCAGAAGGATCAATGCATCTTGTAGTAGGTATCAATTCTGTATGTTAATGTGTTGAAAATAGTGTTGGTAGGTATCAGTTTTGTATGTGAATGTGTTGAAAATAGTGTTTGTAGGTGAAAATTATGCATCTTAATGAGTTGAAAATAGTGTATCAGTTGTGCATCTTAATATGTTAAAAATAGTGTTAGTAGGTATCCATTATGTATCTAAATGTTTGAAAATAGTGTTTGTAGGTATATTAATTTTGTATGGTAATGAGTTGAAAATAATATATCAGTTTGCATCTTAATATGTTGAAAATAGTGTTAGTATGTATCCATTATGTATGTGAATGTGTTGAAAATAGTGTTTGTAGGTATTCATTATGTATCTTAATGTGATGAAGATGTGTAGATAATATTGTGAGTAGGTATCACTTATGTATGTTAATGTGTTCATAATTTTGTGAGCAGGTATCACTTCTGTTTCTTAAGCAAAAGGTGTTTGTTGCAGTTATAAAATGGAATCTGGGTTTGAACTTTGTTTCCCGGAGTCAGAGGTCTATGCTGCACGGGTGAATTCTGAAAAGATTTAGAGAGTCGCTTATGAAAAGATTTAGAGAGAGCTGTTTTGGGTACCTGTTGGGCCTCCATAAAATTGCATTTAGTGGTCAAATTGTGCATGCTTTGGCACTCCAGCGAGTCGGAGGACTTGGTGTTAAGGACATGTTGGGCCTTAGTTATGCAATAGGGTCCAATGTTGCTCAATTCAGTGTAAAGGATTTTTGTTTGATAAGTGGTCTGAAATGTGGAACAGAGCCTGACATAATGTCCAGGGGGATGCTCATAATCGATTTATGAAAGCGCATTTTACCAACAGGGGTCACATTACTTGCAATGACTTAGAAAATGCATTCCTAAAGTCCGAAAGAGGAAGCGAGGACTCGTTCAAATTGGGACTGCTGTATTTTGTGGAGTTTGTGATAATGGGTAAACCCCAAAATGTGAAGACAAACGAGGAGTACTTACATTTGGTTCATAAAATGGACGAATTCAACGATTATCTATGGGGATCTATATCTTTTGAGTTTTCTGCAAGATTCTCTGTTGTTTGCTCCCGGGAAGAAAGAGAGTGATGAAGTGAATGATGGGAAGGGAAAAGGACATAAAAAAGGCAGAAACGCGGTGCGGAGTTCAGTGAGAAAATGGAAGAAAAACGTGGAAGATGAGAAGCCTAAAAGAATTAACAGACCTTGATGGAGTATAAAGGGATTGAGCTATGCTCTCCAGGTATGATGTAGTTCAAAATTAGTGTTTGTAAAATTTTAGTTCGTAATTAAGTACTGACTTTGATAATCTATTTGTTGTAGATTTGGGTGTATGAATTAATTGTTGAATTGGGAATTCCCCCCTTAGATATTGTAAGCGGATCGAGGAACCTGCATTAGTCCCTCGAATTTGTCGGTGGGAATCCACGGATAAAGTGCCTGAGTTTAGAAAGCTGAACGCTTATATATTTCAAAGCAAACATGTGTGTAGTTAATAATTTATTTCAGTACTATGTTCGTTTCATGAGGAAAGCTGTTTAGTATTGTGTATGACCTGTTAACTTTATGTGTTTGATAGCCTGTTATACTGCGCCTCTTACGACCAAGTCAATTGGAGATGAGCCAACCATATTTGAGTTGGGGATCAGATGTTCCTGAATGTGATGCACCTATTGTAGCTCCGCGAGTATGTAAGGACCTTGATGAGTTAAACTCTGTTGTGCAGCAGTTGAGGAATGAGGTTGCAATATTGCACCGTGAGAAAGGGTCAGCTAGAGGAGAGAGTTTTACACTTGGAAAAGTGTACCAGTCATGCAGACGCGAGGAAGAATGGGGATGCTGGAGAGAGATGAATAAGACTGAGGATGCTGGAGAGGAGAGGAATAAGACTGAGGATGATGGAGAGGAGAGTCAGAAGACTGAGGATGCTGGAGAGGAGAGTGATAAAATTGAGGATGGTAGAGTAGCCGAATTTAAAGAGCAGTGTGTACAAAAGTGCTAAAGAAGAGGTGCAATATACACCCCCGGATATAAATTGGGATGATCCGGGTGTGGTGTGTGTCACCCTTGTTAAATTTCTTACGAATCCTACTCGAAAGATTGACATGTCCACTGCTGAAGGTGAATGTGGTGAAGATGTTATAGTTGGGGTCCGGCAAAAGAGGGGTCGGGGAAAGAGTGAGATTCTTAGCCCTGCGATGAAGAGGCGAAAGGCTGTGGTGAGGGAAACTTCATGGACAGGTCGGGAGATTCCCAATATTTCGAAGGACACAATTGCTGACCCCCTAAGGCCTGTTCCTCGTGATTCCCTTTTGGAGTTTGCGAAATTCTGCTGGGAATGGGGACAAGAAGAAAAGTAAGTTCTCACTGCCCGTCCATAGTGAAATGTAAATTGTTTATCATGATTAGCTATTGAGTGAATGGTGAAACAAAATTGATAATAATAATGATTCACAAATATAGTTCACATGTGCGGTTATGTGGAGAAGACAGTACGGAAGGTTCGTATAACTTCTTTGTTCGATTGCTGACCAAGGATGGTTGGTTGGATGACTCAGTAAGCATTGATTGATTTGGGATTTTGTCGAAATGCCCATGCTATGTAGTGATTTATTGATTTAATAATGGAAACAACCCTTTTATGTAGAACATAGACATGGCCTTGCTTTTGCTACAGGAGCGGCACAAGAGCTTTGGCAACTAGGTAGGTTCTGACTGAACGATACTAGACACCACTTTTCAGGTCTATATTATTTCTTAAGCATTGTTTATTTTCAAATTTGGTATCCGTTATGATGCATAACTCGTGTGCCACTATGCAGAAATGTGCTGCCTTGGATTACAAGCAAATGAAGGCGTATGTGGGACAGGAGTACAGGCAGCACAGCAAGGGTCTACTGGGAATGGTCAGGGGCGAAGGGCCTAAGTTGGCTAAATCATGGTCGTCTGTGAATCGCGTTTGTTTGCCCTTCAACCTATAAAGGTAGAAGCACTGGATCTTGCTTGTTGTCGATTTAAAAGAGTGTGAGATAAGGGCATATGATTCAAAAGTAGATCTGTGTAGAACTCAAGCCATCCAACGGGCCGTGTAGCTGGTGGCAAAAATGATGCCCCTGTTGTTAAATGAATCTGGGTATATTGGCGATGGTCTACTTCTGAAAAGTGAGTGGCCAGTTATTCGTGTCATGGATGCACCCCAACAGTAGGCGGGTGAGTAATATTCCACCTAACCACATTGTCTTATGAAATGGATTTGTTGTACAATGAATCACAGCTTCTTAGCTATGTTTCAGGGGCGACTGTGGGATGTACATCCTCAAATACTGCGAATTTCTGACCTCGAATGTAGACCTGGCCAAGATTTACCATGACGTCATGCCCTTCTATCGGTTGAAGCTCGCTGTACAGTTGTTGCAGGGATATTGGTAGCTGTGATTCATTAGGAGATACTATAACTTGCAAAGTTTTTAACTGTGGGGTGTAGTGTAGTATATGAACTTGCAAAGTTAATTTAACCGGCTGGGCAATTTTGTTGGTAACAGACCTTATATTCACGAGTTACAAAACAAACATTTCTATAATATAAGGGAAGCTTGAAGAGCTTTCTTCGCATGCTTGAGCGCATCTTTCCCCTTTATATTTTAGTAAGGTTTTGAAAAGGTAGTTTTCTTGTTTGTTAAGGAACAAAGTCTTCTTTATGATCCAACTCCCCATTTTCACTTAAAATTAAAGAATTAGTTTTTATATTCTGTTCAAATACAAGCTGTATGAAACCCTCAACACATATTGTTGACAGTATGCTGAACCCAAACCCTAAATGGTGCATGATTCTTTTCAAATGTCGAATAAATAGTAATGTATCTTGTTTAGGGCAAACACGATTGTGAAGTTAAGATGCAGGCATATGAAATGTTGAAGTTTGTCATTGACTAATTGTGCTGAAGGCTTAATTATATTTGTACATTTCCAAACACGTCTTATATGTAGCTGTCCGGATTACAAAATTACAAAACATATGCTTAAACCCAAAACATTTCTTACTTTTTCATCAATTTAACAGCCAAATTCAGAAATGATAGAACTAACAATAGTAGGAGGATTTTATTAATGCCCTTCAGTATATAGATTACTTCAGCATATGCATTAAGTACCTTCACATCCACCTGGTTTTGAATGTCAAATTCAGTTGGGGTGTTGGCTGCTATCACCCATTCATAGCCACTAAACCTTGTAGCTCCCTACAAAAAAAAACAAACAAAACTACATTTTTCAGTCTGGATTACAATGTCAGACCATATTCTTTTCTCTGGATCAGTTTTAGTTTGGGATTACTGTTTATTATATACAGCTTATTCAGTTTTACATACGAGGTTTGGGAAGATTATATTGACATATGTTGTGAAGCACTTCCAATACGGTCTGCCTAGATTCCTTTCGGAGTTGGAAATTAGCTTCACCATCTCAGCATTGCAGTGCCGACACCACTTTGCTTCAGTGTTTGATGAAGAAATCAACATCGCTTTGCCCAAAGTTGAAAATGAAGAAAATAGAAGACTTATACCCTTCCAATTATTTGGTCAAAACCCCCAAATTATTTTCTTCCAATTCTGAAAAGGAATTGAATTTTAATTTTTGGTCGAAACATATATGGATTTTGAAGTTTGAATTCGCCTTTTTTGGTCATGACAATTCGTGAGCGGGAAATTCCAAAGTTGAATTTTTTTTTAATTTTTTAACCCTAATGCATGAGCGGGAAAATAAAAAGCATTGTTGTGGAATTATTTTCTTCCAATTCTGAAAAGGAATTGAATTTTAATTTTTGGTCGAAACATATATGGATTTTGAAGTTTGAATTCGCCTTTTTTGGCCATGACAATTCGTGAGCGGGAAATTCCAAAGTTGAATTTTTTTTTAATTTTTTAACCCTAATGCATGAGCGGGAAAATAAAAAGCATTGTTGTGGGGAATTTTTAATAATTTTTTTACCCTAAACACTCCACAGTAAACCCTACACCGTAGCCTTAAAGGCGTTTATCAAATGAAAATATAAGTAAGACAAAAATTAAAAGGAAAACGGGCGTGTGGCGGCATGGGAATGCGTCGCGTGTCGCTGAGGTTTGCAGCTCCCCACTCCAGCTCCGCCACTTGGCATTCCGTGTGTATTTTATTCCTTTTTTATTTCAGAAAATCTTAAAAAATACAGGAAATTCAGAAAAAATGGGGGAAAATTCATAAGTATAAATCGGGATGAATACTTCGTACTAAAAGTACAATAACGGATTTTGGTGTGAGGGAAAAATAAAATTGGGGAACAAACCCTAGTGTTGGATGATGCAAATGAAAACACTAGTACACTTTTCAAACCCTAGACTCTTATTTGTTCGATCACATTAATTCCGTATGGATATTTATATGATGTGGCCTTTTTCCGGATATTTCAAGGAAGGAAATGTCATCACGAGTTCGGAGGATTTTTTCTAGAATTTTTCCCCCTTCAATTCGATTTTTAAATGAATATGTAATTGGAAATGAATAAAAAATTTGAAAAGGGACGTGTGACGGCACGGGAATGCGCCGCGTGTCATTGAAGTCTGCAACTCCCCACTCCAGCTCCACCACTTGGCATTTCGTGTGTATTTTATTTCTTCTTCTTTTTTTTTCCAGAAAATCTTAAAAAATACAAGAAATTCAGAAGAAATGAGGGAAAATTCCTAAGTATGTATCAGGATGAATACTTCGTACTGAAAGTACAATAACGGATTTTGGTGTGAGGGAAAAATAAAATTAGGGAACAAACCCCATTGTAGGATGATGCAAATGCAAACACTAGTACACTTTTCAAACCCTAGACTCTTATTTGTTCGATCACATTAATTCCGTATGGATATTTATATCATGCGGCTTTTTTTGGAATATTTCATGGAAGGAAATGTCGTCACGAGTTCGGAGGATTTTTTTTGGAATTTTTCCCCCTTCAATTCGATTTTTAAATGAATATTTAATTGGAAATGAATAAAAAATTTGAAAAGGGACGTGTGGCAGCATGGGAATGCGCTACGTGTCGCTGAGGTCTGCAGCTCCCCACTCCAGCTCCGCCACTTGGCATCTCATGTGTATTTTTTTTTTCAGAAAATCATAAAAAATACAAGAAAATTCAGAAAAAATGGGGAAAATTCCTAAGTATGTATCGGGATGAATACTTCTACTGAAAGTACAATAACGGATTTTGGTATTCCGTGTGCATTTTATTCCCTTTTTTTTTCTTTTCAGAAAATCGTAAATAATACAGGAAAATTCATAAAAAATGGGGGAAAATTCCTAAGTATGTATCGGGATGAATACTCCGTTAGGAGTTTTGACTTATACTTCTCAAGGAGTTTCTGGTTAAATACGCTATTTAAATCCTTTTGTTAGTCAAAAGGGATTTCCAAATTATTGGATTGAAATTTTGTATTTTTGTTGTTGTTGCAACAATCGTAAACATTGCATGACAAATTCAGAATGTTAAGGGGAAAAACCCAACACTTATTTTCCCCCCTTAAATTCGATATTTAAATCATTATGTTAGTGAAAATAGAATTTTGGATTTCTTTATTAAACTATTTTTTATCTTTCAAATATAGTTTCAAATGCAGGACAAATAAGGAAATGTGGGGAAATTGAAAATGTTATTAAACGATCACCAGAGTATCTTAGAAGATCAAGGATGGCTCAGACCCGGTCTGACTGAAAGAATAATCCCTCATGCTTTGACAACACGCAAGCTCCCTGGCATTTGGGTGTCTGTCATCTTCAATGAATGACTGCTTCGGGAATCGGAACCAGCAATTCCTCATTTCAGAACACATAGTCAAACCATAGGACCCAAAACCATCCAAAACATATGCACACAAGCTACAAAGGTCTATGGAACACAACCGTCTACAAACGTGTACTAAATTGGATCTTAAAAGTGCACCGATTACAAAAACAGACCTTCAAACCATAAACATGACTTAAAACCACAAACGTCGGCAACCTTACCATAAACAGACCTTGAATTAAAAACATTAAACAGAAGGTAAACTTCCCCTGTAGATACCGTGTCAGAGTAGTCACCCGCCAAGTCCCATGAGAAATACCACTCCCGATTACCCTCACAGTTAATGCTGTTAAGAAAAAAAACTTCTGTCATCAGTTAGCTTTGCAAGAGTTGGAGGAGTCACCACGCCCGAAATTGTATACCTCATCAGTCAATTCATAATTGATGCCCTGCATGCTTGCATGTCAATTTTCTTCGTTTTTCTTAGATGGCACAACAATTCCATTGCATCATATTGTCCCTCCGTAGGAGTCACCAGCACTAGCAAGCCAACAGTGTAGGAGGATTCCATATGCCCTGCCTTAGCCGGCCCCCGGAAGTTGTTGACAACCTCATCAACTTCTCTGTAAATGATTTCTGGATTGTTGTGTTCCTTGCACTTTTGCAAGATCATGTATTATTGGCTTCGTTTCCCAACCGGTGTGACTGAAAGTACAGTTCACACACCTCGATGATCCAGGTTTTGGTGGCAAATTGGTCTTCTCGCGGCTCCATGCCTAGGTACACCTCGTGGGTGTTCACATTTATGATACTACTAATCAACGTTAGTAGTCAAAAAATTAAATATACTTTTTATGATAATGATTATGCAAATATCACATCACTACTTATGGAGGTAAAATTCGTTGCATTTTAACATGACCATGTGAATAATTTAACAGCCAAGTATGAAACTAAATATCATATCAACGCACCATTAACAGTAAAGAAAATGAAAACAGTGTTTATTACATCACCAGTTATGAAGGTAATCTGAATTTAACATTAGCAAGTAAACAATTTCTTCTTCTAAAATATTATACTTAATATGAACGCACCATTAACAGTACAGAAAATGAAAATAGTGTTTTATGATATCACCAGTTATAAAGGTAATCTGAATTTAACATGAGTAAGTAAACAATTTCATCTTCTGAAATATGATACTAAATATGAACTCATATCACCAGTAAAGAAACAAAACAATGTGCTTGTGGTACTTATAATGCAAATATCACATCACAAGTTGTGAAGGTAACTTACATTTGAACATGACCAAGTCAACAGTTTCATCTTCGCAAATATGATACTAAATACAAGCGGTAAAGAAAATTAAAATATCGTATATTATACAAATAATGCAAATATGACATCACTAGTTCTCAAGGTAACTAAAGTTGTAGCTTCCCACTCGAAATCAACATTGGCATTTTGGCGGGTAAAATGAAAATGAGGATTGCTCTATAAATACCAATGTAAGAGTATTTTACCATTGCACCTCCACTTGCTCCAAACAAGCCTAAACTCAGAATGGGTTTCCCTACAAAAATCCCCCCCATACTTATAACAACTCCAGCAAAAAATGCAGAACCTTTGTCATAGAGGAATAACAAAGCTGAAGATATTGTTGATGGAGCTGCGTAATCCATAAACTTTTCATCTGAGGACCACGATGATGTACCTCGGATCGGCAAGATGCGGTATGATGCGTTGATCATGGAAATCAAACGCCTGAAGATACGTCTAAGATGGTATCAAGAAACATTGGGGAAGGAGAAAAAGAAAGCGAAATTCCACCTTCGATCAATCCAAATAATGAAAGTGAGGGTTAGGCTTGCGAAAGGAAAAGGTGTTCGAAAGTTAAGTACTTCGAATGAGTCTGTTTAGATGAGGGAAGCAGAAGCACGCAAAGGGTTCAAGCTGTTCCGTGAGTTTGCAAGATGTGTTGTCCCAAGCTACAACTGGGACGGGATTGCCATGGAGTAAGCCATCGCTGGAGAAAGTTCATTTTGGGGGTTTTCAGTATTTTGTTCGGAACAAATGTGTGGTTCATTTTGAGTACGTTTTTTGGCATTTTTTCTGGGCTCCTGAAGGTGTAAAAACTCTAGTTTGAAGTGTTCTTACTTCTTAGGTAATGTATCCAACTGTAAGATGTGAAGGACAACTGTAAACAAATGGGGAAACTGTTTTGGGTTTTTTAAGCGTACTTTTGTCTACATAAATTGTTGTGCTTTTATGAAGTTTGTTTATATTATTTTCTAATCACATATTTCTTTGTGTTATTTTATAACGCCTAAAAGGCATGGAATAGAAACAACAGAGGTGGATTTGTTGATAATCCATGTATTTATGTCGCATAGTAATTAAGTAATGGAGGGTTGACTTTATCTCGTTCGTTTAGGGATGGCAATGGGTTGAATCGGGGGTGGGTATGCCATTTCCATGGCCCGCCCCATTAGGGAAGAAAAAACCAATTATATAACTATTCTGTTGAAAATAAAAAAGAGTAGTAAGACAACATAATGAATATATAGAATACATACTTAGAAGACAATATAACAATGTTTATATATATGTTGGAAGTTAACTAAATAAATAAGTAGTGTGGCTTAAGATTTGTATACAATATAATCTACTAATATAAAATATAAAACTTAGTCGATACTCTGTATGTTCATAGCATATTTATATATGAGGTAAATGCTCATGTGTGTTTCCATTTTGGGTCATTTGAATAAAATAATGCAGCTATGCAGAAAAATATATTAGTAAATACAGTGCTGAATAAATTTATTTGGAAGTCAGTTTTTGTTTCCCTCTTTTTTAAGTAATTGGGTGAGTTTTGAGGTTTGAGCATTTATTTGATCACTTATATGGTAGCTAATTATGTTTGTAACTTGGCGTTTTAGAGGTTTGTTTATTGGTTTCGAATATATAATTTTAGCAATGAAATAACAAGAACCATACTGTGTCTGTTAATTGAAAGGAGAAAATATAGAAATATTTTTCCGAACAATTATATATGCAGCAAATGAAACTAATACTTGTGTTCTTATAAATTAGATAATGAACACTAAGGAAGTATACTTCTAATTTTTGCAAAATATAATATTACGGTTCAAAGGAAAGCAAGATATCACCATATTCTAAAGATGGAGTGTTCACTCTGTATTGTCACATCATATGAAATTAAGTACGAAATTGAGTTTTCATAATCACTTTGGATGATTTATAGCTTCCCCTAGTTTTGTAATGGCACAAGGAGCTGGAAGCAATTTTCCGGGAAATTTTCCGATTTTTCTCCTATTTATTACCATTTTAAAAATCATTTTGCATTAAAAAATTTAAAACATAAAGAAATAACGCACATGGCGACTGCTGACCGCATCCCCCTTCAGTAGGTGCACACGTGTATGCCAGTGGCCATTGCCACATCCTTCCTTTCCGTGTGAATTTAAATGAATATTGCTATTTTCTTACAAAATTCATAACTAAATATACAAAATCGGGAAAAAATTTCGCAAATTGCTACGAACTCATTCAAACTTGATAAATTAAAATTCAAGTGTGTGCTAACATTTTTACTAATCATGTGAGGCTCCTGTGATTAACTAAATCAAATACCTTGATTACTTTTATATAAAATAAAAAAATTAAAGTGATGGGACAAAAGGAGAAAAAACAAAATGGAAATCTTCCGGACATAATATATAAACATTGTGTTATGCCTATGGGATACTCATGCCTTACATCTCTCTTCTTTCCAGTCGTCTTTTTTGCATACAAACCTTCAGCCGAATCCCCCAATCTGACGATTTTTTCAACATGTCCGCCAGTTCAAGCGCCAAAGTGAACTAGGGGGACTCCGATGGCTCATGGGAATATGCCCCTGATTATCCAAGGTCCCCTCCACCACCGCTGCCTCTTCCAACCTCCTCCACAAGCGAGGGGGACTCCGATGATCCCGCTATGGAAATAAATGATATGAAGAACAAACTGGAACACAACTCTTCCTTGGTCCATTATTGGACTCAAAAGTGTGTCGGAGCTGAGCAGAAGTTGGCTTATTTGACTTGGCATGTTAACAAAGCCTGTTACAGAAAAGAGAAGCAGAGAATTCGTGCCCAAAGAAGAAAGCACACAGTAGAGGATTTGCATATGACAGAGAAGGATGCTACTTACGAATCTTTGAGCATCCACAAATAAGTCGACAACCAAGGCCAGGCAATGTTTGTGGCTTTCAACGAAGGTTTTGAGAAATTCCGACGATTTGCTGCAGATGTCCACAAAGATATTGACTGGGTCGCCATAACCCTGTCTGCTACACAGGAAATCATCTCCAACGGTGCATACTCAACAGAGTGAGGCCACCAACCAGCAAAAGGCAACGATAATGACTAGTGATAGCCATATCAATCCGTAGGCAATCCTTTAGCAGTTGTTTGTTTTTGTTAATGCCTGATCTGGGTTAGTGTTTAAATGTGAATGCCCGATCTGGGTTACTGTTTTAATGTTAATGCCCGATCTTGCTTATGTGCAGCTTATTATTTCGTTTTACATTGCTATCAAACCTAGAGTTCAATCACAGTTTGATCACTAACTTCCAGATTAGAAGCGTTCATTTCGTAATAATGCTCACAATTTTTTGTTTAATTCATTGTCGGTGGGGAGACAATTTGTTTCAAGATTCTCTGACACAGATATTCGTTGGTTGAGACTTTACAGAGACATAGTGATTGTTTCAAGATTCTCTTACTGACACATAGTCATGGTTTCAAGATTCCCTTGGATATTTTCATATTCATTGCAACCATTGCAAATTTGTGTAGAAAACCCCTTCCATGATTCCCCCAAACTCATTCTCCTTCAAACAAGGACTTCAGGTTCTGAAAATCCCAAATCCCCAGAGGACATTCGGGACATCCACCTTCAACAAAAGATGGATCCGAAACATCGAGTTATGCATTGAAAGCATGGTGCCGTTCAAGACCAAAAAAGATGTAAATAGGTATCAATAAATGTTAAAACTTCGGGACCATAAATGAAATCAAACTCTTCTAGATAGTTATATGTTTAATAAACCATAGTTCAGTATCTATGGACATGAGGCATTTGCCTAAGATTCACTAACGCTTCCAGATACTTTCAAAAATGATGTAAATAAGTATCAATAAGTGTTCGAACTCTGAGACCATACATGAAATCAAACTCTTGCATAAATGACTCTATCATAGTAGGTTCACTGTCTTGCGTGCTCTGAGTGGGCTGCAAATTCTCACCAACTGGACCACCAAATTTTGTGTTGGAAGATGAAGAGCTGCCACATCGGAAAAAAATAATAATAAACATCAACAACATAAATTTCAAAGAACAATATAATACATATTCACTTACAGGCTCGCAAGTTTTGGACAACTCCGTCTTCAGTCTTCCTACATTCAGTGCACCAACGTTTATGTCGTTGCACTGCGTTCTCTTTTTCTTCTTTAACTCTTTTCGCACGCCCTTTTACTTTCACTCGATGTGGATCTTTGATTCTGAGTTGGGGATAACTTGTTCCGACATCTCCATTGGGTTCCTCGACATGAGCTCTTGATGACACCAATCTTGTAAGCTTCCCACGAATGTCCTCAAAAGATTTTTCCAGCAACTCAAAACCTTCATCACACAACAAAGCCGAATCAATTAAATCACTTGCAACTTTGCAAACTTTCGATCTCTTAACCAAAAGTAAACCATCAACGCAATCGTTAACTTCTTTGTGACAGGACCCGCCCCGAATTTCTCGAAACCTGGGACGAATCCTGTGGAATTCCCGACATCATCCCGATGTCGGGCCCACTCACTAAAACTGTAACCACCTTTTCCAAAAGAAGTAGGGGCACGAGACTTTCTGCCGAAATTTCGGCAGAGTTTCCCTTATACATTGAACATTTCCCAAAAATTTCAACCTGCATAAAAACACATTTAATATCCCAACAGGCAGCACGCACAATATAATTTCATGCAATTCACATAAATGGCCTCCAGCCTTCAAATGATTCGAAACAAAATTGCCAGCAATGTTCTTAAATCAAATTAATGCATATAACAATCTCAAACTTATTTATGAACGCCTACTGTAATCAACATAGAATAAAGTTTAGCCCGTGGCTGCACCTAGGCACTACCCTAGGCTGCCTACGTACCCTTACAAAGGGATCAAGCCACACATAGTTCTTTCCTAAAACCATTTTTCTTTAAATCACAACTCAACAATCACAATCTTTAATTTATCTCCCAAAATCTCCCTATACGTCGGAACATCCAAGGCCACGTATAGGGCCTATCAGCACGCCGGATAATCCTACGACACGTTATCTCCCCATATGCCGGTACTACCAACGCCGCATATGGGGTCTGTCAACACGCCGGCTACTCCTACGACACGTGCGACCTCACAAGCTTATCACAATATCTCCCCATATGCCGGTAACACCAACGCCACATATGGGGTCTGTCAACACGCTCCGTCGTTCATTTTCGAAGTATCCGGGACTCCGTTCCACGATCCGTCGAATCCTACACTATCCTAGGAATGTCTAGATTGACATATATTAAATTAACGATGATCCAACGGTTCAAACCTATCGAACCCGGATAACACACAATATGAGATGTCCAATCGACGATCAAACGATATCCAAATTGAAATCCGAGCACTCCTACGCGCTCATGAGAACCTGGAGATTACATCGGGACACAATGCCCTTTTTCTACAGTGCCCATGCGCCGCCACACGCGCTGGCAGCGCGTGGGTGTCCAAAGCGATTCGCATCGCCGGAAAATCTCCAAATCACGGCTCAAGACTCCTACCCTAGGTATAACACCCTATTTGGAACCACTTTAGTTCTTGGACCTAACCCAAAAAGTGACCAGAAGTGGCCGGGATCTCATCCCGAAATCCGGCCAAATCTTGGGTTACAAATCGAGTTGCCTACGCTAGAAATTGATCAATTCCAACCCAACAGACAGCTAGATCATGGAAAATACGTGAGAAAGCATACCTCACTCGCCTGAATCGGTGGCCGAAGGAGGGAGAACGAGCCGACGAAAGTTCACGAAAAAGTTGTCCAACACCGCTTGTTTCTTGGCTGTTTCCGGGGACTACGACAGCGGATTGAGGAGGAGAAAGGCTGGAAGAGGGAAGTGTGGCAGTTCTAACGGAACCGTTATTGCTTGAATTGGTGGCCGGAATTGGGAGAAATCGCCCCTTGAAGATGGCTGGTCAAGCTGCTCCCAAACTGAAGAAATTCTGGGTTTTTAAAAACTGAACTTCTAAATATTTACGGTTATGCCACTGAACTTCTTTTGATCGCCATTTCTTCGTTACAATTCCGATTCAAGCCCACTACGTGTCTACGGACACATCTCACCGTGCTCTACGCAACAGTATAGTCAAAATTCCCAAATTCCCTCCTGGTCAAAAAGTTAACTTTAAACCTAATAAAATATTCTATGGGCAAAATGGTCTTTTATCTGAATAAATTAATATTTACCAATTTATTTAAGACCGGGTCGTTACACTTTGCGATTCTTATCTTATATTACATCGTTTTTCGCACTTTGAAGCCATCGTTTCAATATGTACTTGTCTGGCAAGTGCTCAACCTGCTTCATTCTTAAGAATGCTACACAGAATACCCTAAAATTCAAATCCTTTGCAGGTGCAATAAGCTTTATCGGCATCTTTATCATGCACAAGCTCCTTCATCCGTGTCACCCCCGGATTTACCGGCTCACTTTGTATCTGCAGTGCGTCTCATCTTGCTCTACAAGTTCGAACAAGCATAAAAGACTTCTGAAGTCTTCCTTCTCAAACATTTCCAGAATTTTCCGAGTGTAAATGAGTCCCATTTGATGTTGCATTGGTGTTTGAAATGGCAGTGGAGGTTTTTCATTGTTATCAACATGATCAGCCATTAACTCCTTGTGTCTTTATGAAGCAAGAGCTCTCTCAAAACGTACAATGAATTCCATCAATGTGTTTTTCCGGTTAATATATTGTTTGAAAAATGAATGACAGCTTTCGGCCCGTTGACTACTTGACATCTTAGCCGAAAACACATGTTTTACATATGATAGAACCCAATTCTCCCGCATAGCATGAATTGAGCTCAGCCATGCATGGTCTTGCAGCCCATTGTTTGTGATGATTTCCTCTCATTTCGCATCAAATTCTTCTTTCTTGTCCATACCCTATATGCATTTTACACATTTCCAGAAAACATTCTCCAATGCCGGGTTTCTCTATAATCTTATTCAAGATATGCCATATGCAATATCTATGGAATGTTGTCGAGAGAGTTACAGCAATTGCCTTTGACATGGCTGTATCTTGATCAGTGATAATTATTTTGGGTGGCTCACCCGGCATGGCTTTCTTGAATTCCTCAAACAACCATACAAATGAATTCGTGGTTTCACTAGTTAGGAATATACAACCAAACAACACTGTCTGCCGATGGTTATTAACGCCTAACAAAGGCACAAAGACCATTCCATAGCAGTTCGTGTTGAACATCATATCAAATACCACCACATCTCCAAAAAAACCCATAAGCTCGTCTTGACCTTACATCTGACCAGAAAACATTACCCATCCTTCCTTCCGAATCTCCTCCATCTTGAAATAAAAGGATTCATTCTTTTCTTGCATAGCCACAAAATGCTCCTTAAGCAGCTCTGCATTATGGCCAATCACCTCTCCATGCACGTCCCTTAGATAATTATAGACATCTCTCTTAACAAACCCAACATTTTCCAATCCCCCTACTTGCACCTCAAGAAGGCTTAACTATTTATGTACCGGAATATTAACTTTGCTCATATCTGCACTATAGACCTTTGTAGACTCTGTTAAGTTACGGTGAGATCTCAATAGATGAACTTTATCAACTGTGGTCATGTCATGGTTGTGTACCTCATTGAATCCTACAACAATATACTTATTCTTGGCTTTCACCTTCAATATCGCAAGTTTAACCTTGCAACTAGTTCGAGTACAACCTCGCCGTCTTCTCTTACGACTAATAGGGATTGTCAACGCATACCCCTGTTTACAACATACATATTCCTTCCTTGTTACCTCTCCTGTCAGTGTGCACGTCCTCGTTGTAGAGCACCAAATGCCGAATCCGGCTTCCACAGCATACATATTATAGAAATTGAACACATCGTCACAGCAATCAAATTCAAGTCCCAATTTTGATTTCAACTTTGACCTTACTTCCGGTGTCACCTGTCCTTCGCACTCTATTTCACAGTTCTTGCAATTTAACCCTGAATTCACCACCATCATACCAACATTGGCACATGCTTTCAAAGAGCTTTAAAATATATATATTAACTAACATATGACATGAAAATGATTCCCTGGTGAAATATTAAAGACTTACATACAAACTAATGTAACTCATGCTTATACCCAATAATAAACTTGACAAATACAGTATAAAGAGCTTCAAAATATATATATTAACTAACATATGATATGAAAATGACTCTCTGGTGAAATATTAAAGACCTACATACAAAATGATGTAACTCATGCTTATGCCCAATAATAAACTTGACAAATACAGTATAAAGAGCTTTAAAATATATATATGTTAACTAACATTTGATATGAAAATGATTCTTTGGTGAAATATTAAAGACCTACATACAAACTAATGCAACTCATGCTTATGCCCAATAATAAACTTGACAAATACAGTATATCACTTACCTCGTGAGTCATTTCCAATTTCAAAATTTCTACAAATATGACAATGTTGCCCTTTTAGATCTGGACGTCAACCCCAAACACTTTTCTTCTTCCTCAACCCCTGTTTCGACCGTGCTTAACGATTTCAAAACCAAGAGAACAGCACAACGGTCGTGGTCACCAGTTTCCAACTCAAGACGTTGCTCAAGGATTGACGAATGTTCCAACCAGAAAGACCGAGCCACAAAGATGATAATATAAAATACACGAACACTATCTTTCGCCTAAATGAGAAACCCAGAAAAATGAGGGCTATACTTCTGTGTTCTTCCTGGAAAGCGCTCTCTCTTTAGTGCTATTGGTCTTGCTCAATCAAAGCTGATAAAAAAATTGGCCACTTAGTTTAACAAACCAAACAGCTGGATTGGAGGGGACGTCTGTTTTCGACTCAACGTTTTGGAAGGAGGAGAGAGAAGAAGGCCTCGTTTTAATACAACACTTACACATACAATTGCTTTTGATGCAACCGTTAGATTAGATCCAACAGTGTTCTCACGTAACGTTCGCACATAAGCATTCTCACCTGATCCAAACCGAATAAAAAAGCATCTCCAATGGCAGAATTTTTGGTCTCTATATCATAAAACTGGCCAGAAATAACCCTAAATCTGTAAACTTGCATAGAGCCTTAGAGCCCCAATGGGCCCTAAAGGACTCACTATAGAATGGCTCCTCCACTTGATGTTAATAGTGGGATGTATAAACCCTAACCCACTAGGTGTTGCATCCGGAACCACCCAAAATGAGTTTGTGGGTCCGAGTTGGATTTTCCTGGGAGTTGGTTGAGGTCCAGGCCCCGTAGAAACTAAATATTGGCCTTTTGGATGGTCTCTTTTGTCATGTCTTTTCGTACAGTTCGTGTAAATTCATACCATATTAGTGTAGATTGGTTTCCTTCGATTGTCTTCAAACCTATGTAATGGTAAATTCTTATTTGCTCATGAACATTACTTATTCTTCACTATACTTATAATGCAAGAAGAAGAGAAAAAAAATAAATAAATAAACAAATTGGGTAGTACAGTGATTAACCTCAATCAATATATTTCGAATTACTATGTCTATTACGTACAGTTATGGATATCTCTTGTCATAATTGATTGGCATATATAGCTGTAGCCTGTATATGCATGTCCCCTCATGGGGTTGATATCCGTTGTCCTTAAATTTCATATATACCCTTTAAAAAAAAAAAAAAAAAAAAAAAAAAAAAAAAAAAAAAAAAAAAAAAAAAAAAAAAAAAAAAAAAAAAAAAAAAAAAAAAAAAAAAAAAAAAAAAAAAAAAAAAAAAAAAAAAAAAAAAAAAAAAAAAAAAAAAAAAAAAAAAAAAAAAAAAAAAAAAAAAAAAAAAAAAAAAAAAAAAAAAAAAAAAAAAAAAAAAAAAAAAAAAAAAAAAAAAAAAAAAAAAAAAAAAAAAAAAAAAAAAAAAAAAAAAAAAAAAAAAAAAAAAAAAAAAAAAAAAAAAAAAAAAAAAAAAAAAAAAAAAAAAAAAAAAAAAAAAAAAAAAAAAAAAAAAAAAAAAAAAAAAAAAAAAAAAAAAAAAAAAAAAAAAAAAAAAAAAAAAAAAAAAAAAAAAATCTCATCTTAAAGTAGTGTTGGAAGTATCACGAGTATACTAATATTCCATCTATTACTTATACCCGTTTACTCTTTTTATATTTGAGTCTTGTTGTAAAATTCCCCACTAACACCATTTAACCATTTAATGGTTTCTGAATTAATTTTCTTTATACGAGCATGCCACTGTTGGCAGATGATAAAATACTGTTGGGGTTGAGTGCATTGGTGTATTAAGAATCAGGCCTTTTCTTTTCAAGCATTCTTTAAGTACTTACATTCCTTATTCTTTTTCTTTTTCTTTTATATATATCTGGAAGTACCACCAATAGGAAAAATAACAAATCAGAATCAGCTTAAGTTTTTCAATAGGAAGATTATACATTACCAATAGGGTACAGAGGTTTTACCATGGTGGCGCCTTTCACTTGTTCTTTTCGTTGCTCGATCTTTGTATGTAGCGGGCAGAGCCCAAAACAAAGTCAAACAATGATCCCAAATTCTTTTCTCACACGCTTATCTTCACCAAGAATCACAACATATTATCAGGGATACAAGCTTCTTAGAAGTTACAACATTATGAAAGTTATACATTACCACTTACACGTACCATCAAAAGTTAAGTCCATGATTTCACATTCCTATCAAATATTCCACTCCCAAGTAGAAGAATTTATGCCCTTGATTTCACTTTCCTGTCAAATATTCCTCGTTCATAAGTAGAAACGTACATCTCAACTAGAAGAGGAAATTGCATCTAAATAAATGAGGTGACTGGAACGCTAGCAAGGAAAATCATAGGAATAACAATCCACGACTGTTCATGGATGATAATGAAAAGGGCAGAAGAAAAGGCAACCATCATGGTGGAAATAGAGATGAATAAGGTGGAAAGGCCTATTATCATCTTTGTTGGTAAGGATGTAAGGAAATCATCTTCAGCATAACGTGATGTAAGGATTCCCAAAAACATCAACACCGAAGTTGTGGAAGAAAAGAGGGATATAGCATCTGAAACTATAAAAGCCATAAACAACTTTTTATGCAGGAATATTGGGAAGCCTGTTTGTCCATTGTTTCCACCGGGAATTATGAATGTTGCAGCAAACATGATGGTAATAATGAGAGCACCTACAACTGTACATGAAAATGCAGTTTCTTTCTTCCATCTTTCTCCTTCCTTCACCAATTGGTTGTGGTTCTCGGAAAACATCTTATACTCCTTATTTAAAGATTCTTTAAGCAGGAGTCTTACAATATTTATCGACGTCCTACATTTTGTTGAACAAAAGATTCATATGAGTATAAGAGGTTATTATTCTAATTTTCCAATCAACCCTTGAATTTTTTTAAATTTGAGAGGCCATATAAACGTAAACCATTAGAGAACAGAGAAGACAATGTTGACCGTAAAGTAACTAAATAAGCCATCTTAGTACTCCCTTTATTTCTAGTTTAACTCCTTCGACTACATTTTTGGCTGCATTGGCTTTCGACTAGAAAATGTTTAAATTACATAAATTGGAACATTAGTTTTCTCCCACGATATAAGAAATGACTCATTTTAGCCACAACAATTTGTATAAGTTGAAAAAGTATAAATTAATACAAATTTTGTTCATGTTTGTTTAAAACAGTATCCATCTATTTGAGGTACTACTTTTTTTTAACACAAAACAATAAAGTATAGAAAATCATATTCAGTGAGGAAAAGAAAAACAGAATGTTCACAGTATATACAGTATATCTTCTTAGATGTCTTATTGATTTCTGATTTTAACTAGTTTGTACCAGGATGACCGATTCCGATTCCCATTACCACAATTTCGAAACAAAAAATGGTCTTTAGAATTGTACTAATTCATAAGAGGGAGGGAAAAAAAAACTAACACTGAATTATATGTTCTGACCTTGAACCATTGTAGTTCTCTCTGCATTTTCAAAGCTGCACCTGAGATATTATCGAGCCTTGCTAATGGTGAAAGCATCCCTGCCACATGTAGCGCGCAATTGTTATCCGAATCTGCAAGACTTCCAATTACAGTCTTTGTTTTTTATCGAGTTTATAATAAATAATTCTATAAACTTTTTCTTGACGACATTCAATGGCAAACTGAAAGAGGTTCCTTCTCATTGAATTTGACGTCCACACGAGATTTGGTTTTGATTGCAATACACGGTCAATAAACTCAAACATTCCTAGCTTCGTAGCTCGGAAGACTGCTGCAGTTAGAAGCTCATTGATATCTTCATGTTTTATCACTTCACACATGTTATCTAGGAGTTCAAGGGCTTGAATATGGGCCAATTTCATTTCTCGTAGGCGTTTGATTCCTAAGTTGGCATTGGAAAAACATGTTATACGACTAATTCCAGAAAGAAAAAAAAATCCTTTAAAAATAATAATGGAGAACAAAGGAAAAATATGGAAACAATGTAGCATACCCAAAATTTCAAGGAGATTTGTGTTCAGCCCTTGCAAGAAACCTAGCACTGCAATGGAAATTCAAAATCTAAACATATGATGGGGATAGCTGTATGTATCTCTGTTAATTAGATGATGTATGATATGACAAAATGGGCAATTAATACGATTAATTGACTCCTAATTTAATACCAGGGCAACGTTCAGATAGTAATAGAATCGTTGTGGATCAAAATGAAAAGGTCCCTAGTTCTTGAAGCAGAAGCTAAGTTTCGTCAACTTTCTCCAATTTCTAATCCGTTTTTGACATGATTAAATAGCAATTATATTTCAATCTAAATTCTAAGCAATGAATGAGTGATGGATGACCGGTACACGCAAATGTTTTAAAAATTTTGCCTACCGGTAATGCGAGTCCAATAGCACCTACATATGTTGCGTTGGGGCAAACATAAGGCCATCTTCAATGGGGACTTAAATTAGGCTTTACCTCCTTGGGACTCCTAAATATAGTGTCCAAATAAAAAAGGGCGGTTATCTAGTGAGAACGCTTATGTGCGAACGTTATATGAGAACCAAATTCAACCATCCAAATTATCTGAACGGCTAAAGAGAAAAAGCAAGCTTACGGTAAAATGGATAGGCTACAGTTCCCCTTAGCCCAAGTGTCAAGTCGCGCCTGTTTCGAAAAAACACGCTTTTCTTCTTCCTGACAGTGGCCAGTCGCGCCTTTCTTGTCAATAAATTTATGAATTTATGAACCAACCCTAAACACCCAAAATACCTACCAGGCATAAATTTGTGTATTTCTCTTGTCGCAAAAACTCCCTGGTGTACTCTGTCTCTTTCGCTTCCTCCCTCATCTAATATTTCTCATTTGAACATCTGAGAAGATACGTTTCTCTCGAATTCCCTCTCTTTCAATCATATTAAAGTTTGCATGTTATATTGCATTTAGTTAATGTTTAAATCACTTAATGTTTAAATAATGTTTAGGATTTTAGGGAATTGATTTTTTGGGTAAGAGTAGTCTGTCTCTGTAGTAGTTGCGTTTGCAAAAATATAAATTGGCTTCAGTTGTTTTTTTGCGTCTTTTTCTAGTTTCTAGTAATTTGTTAAAGCATAGTAACTAATTTTTAAAGTTTTTCTGCGGTTTAAATATTATTTACTTTTTCCAAAAGTTGGGTTGTCTTTTTATTGCAATTTTTATGGTAATTTGTTGAAGTGTAGATTCACAGCTGTTGGTTGTTCCTATTTTTTTTTGCATTGTGCTTGCTTGTTGTCTTTTCTTAAAATTCCAGGAACCTTCATGTGTTGGTCATTGTAATCCTGCTTTGCCCATCTAGTGGTGTGAGTGTATGGCATCATTTTAGGGATTTAATGGGGTTTGGAAAACAAAGAATAAGTACCATTAGAAGTAGAACGCATAAGAGAAAATTGAATCTTAACTGTGAATATGAGATGATTTGGGATGCAGAAGGATCAATGCATCTTGTAGTAGGTATCAATTCTGTATGTTAATGTGTTGAAAATAGTGTTGGTAGGTATCAGTTTTGTATGTGAATGTGTTGAAAATAGTGTTTGTAGGTGAAAATTATGCATCTTAATGAGTTGAAAATAGTGTATCAGTTGTGCATCTTAATATGTTAAAAATAGTGTTAGTAGGTATCCATTATGTATCTGAATGTTTGAAAATAGTGTTTGTAGGTATATTAATTTTGTATGGTAATGAGTTGAAAATAATATATCAGTTTGCATCTTAATATGTTGAAAATAGTGTTAGTATGTATCCATTATGTATGTGAATGTGTTGAAAATAGTGTTTGTAGGTATTCATTATGTATCTTAATGTGATGAAGATGTGTAGATAATATTGTGAGTAGGTATCACTTATGTATGTTAATGTGTTCATAATTTTGTGAGCAGGTATCACTTCTGTTTCTTAAGCAAAAGGTGTTTGTTGCAGTTATAAAATGGAATCTGGGTTTGAACTTTGTTTCCCGGAGTCAGAGGTCTATGCTGCACGGGTGAATTCTGAAAAGATTTAGAGAGTCGCTTATGAAAAGATTTAGAGAGAGCTGTTTTGGGTACCTGTTGGGCCTCCATAAAATTGCATTTAGTGGTCAAATTGTGCATGCTTTGGCACTCCAGCGAGTCGGAGGACTTGGTGTTAAGGACATGTTGGGCCTTAGTTATGCAATAGGGTCCAATGTTGCTCAATTCAGTGTAAAGGATTTTTGTTTGATAAGTGGTCTGAAATGTGGAACAGAGCCTGACATAATGTCCAGGGGGATGCTCATAATCGATTTATGAAAGCGCATTTTACCAACAGGGGTCACATTACTTGCAATGACTTAGAAAATGCATTCCTAAAGTCCGAAAGAGGAAGCGAGGACTCGTTCAAATTGGGACTGCTGTATTTTGTGGAGTTTGTGATAATGGGTAAACCCCAAAATGTGAAGACAAACGAGGAGTACTTACATTTGGTTCATAAAATGGACGAATTCAACGATTATCCATGGGGATCTATATCTTTTGAGTTTTCTGCAAGATTCTCTGTTGTTTGCTCCCGGGAAGAAAGAGAGTGATGAAGTGAATGATGGGAAGGGAAAAGGACATAAAAAAGGCAGAAACGCGGTGCGGAGTTCAGTGAGAAAATGGAAGAAAAACGTGGAAGATGAGAAGCCTAAAAGAATTAACAGACCTTGATGGAGTATAAAGGGATTGAGCTATGCTCTCCAGGTATGATGTAGTTCAAAATTAGTGTTTGTAAAATTTTAGTTCGTAATTAAGTACTGACTTTGATAATCTATTTGTTGTAGATTTGGGTGTATGAATTAATTGTTGAATTGGGAATTCCCCCCTTAGATATTGTAAGCGGATCGAGGAACCTGCATTAGTCCCTCGAATTTGTCGGTGGGAATCCACGGATAAAGTGCCTGAGTTTAGAAAGCTGAACGCTTATATATTTCAAAGCAAACATGTGTGTAGTTAATAATTTATTTCAGTACTATGTTCGTTTCATGAGGAAAGCTGTTTAGTATTGTGTATGACCTGTTAACTTTATGTGTTTGATAGCCTGTTATACTGCGCCTCTTACGACCAAGTCAATTGGAGATGAGCCAACCATATTTGAGTTGGGGATCAGATGTTCCTGAATGTGATGCACCTATTGTAGCTCCGCGAGTATGTAAGGACCTTGATGAGTTAAACTCTGTTGTGCAGCAGTTGAGGAATGAGGTTGCAATATTGCACCGTGAGAAGGGTCAGCTAGAGGAGAGAGTTTTACGCTTGGAAAAGTGTACCAGTCATGCAGACGCGAGGAAGAATGGGGATGCTGGAGAGAGATGAATAAGACTGAGGATGCTGGAGAGGAGAGGAATAAGACTGAGGATGCTGGAGAGGAGAGTCAGAAGACTGAGGATGCTGGAGAGGAGAGTGATAAAATTGAGGATGGTGGAGTAGCCGAATCTAAAGAGCAGTGTGTACAAAATGCTAAAGAAGAGGTGCAATATACACCCCCGGATATAAATTGGGATGATCCGGGTGTGGTGTGTGTCACCCTTGTTAAATTTCTTACGAATCCTACTCGAAAGATTGACATGTCCACTGCTGAAGGTGAATGTGGCGAAGATGTTATAGTTGGGGTCCGGCAAAAGAGGGGTCGGGGAAAGAGTGAGATTCTTAGCCCTGCGATGAAGAGGCGAAAGGCTGTGGTGAGGGAAACTTCATGGACAGGTCGGGAGATTCCCAATATTTCGAAGGACACAATTGCTGACCCCCTAAGGCCTGTTCCTCGTGATTCCCTTTTGGAGTTTGCGAAATTCTGCTGGGAATGGGGACAAGAAGAAAAGTAAGTTCTCACTGCCGTCCTTAGTGAAATGTAAATTGTTTATTATGATTAGCTATTGAGTGAATGGTGAAACAGAAATTGATAATAATAATGATTCACAAATATAGTTCACATGTGCGGTTATGTGGAGAAGACGGTACGGAAGGTTCGTATAACTTCTTTGTTCGATTGCTGACCAAGGATGGTTGGTTGGATGACTCAGTAAGCATTGATTGATTTGGGATTTTGTCGAAATGCCCATGCTATGTAGTGATTTATTGATTTAATAATGGAAACAACCCTTTTATGTAGAACATAGACATGGCCTTGCTTTTGCTACGGGAGCGGCACAAGAGCTTTGGCAACTAGGTAGGTTCTGACTGAACGATACTGGACACCACTTTTCAGGTCTATATTATTTCTTAAGCATTGTTTATTTTCAAATTTGGTATCCGTTATGATGCATAACTCGTGTGCCACTATGCAGAAATGTGCTGCCTTGGATTACAAGCAAATGAAGGCGTATGTGGGACAGGAGTACAGGCAGCACAGCAAGGGTCTACTGGGAATGGTCAGGGGCGAAGGGCCTAAGTTGGCTAAATCATGGTCGTCTGTGAATCGCGTTTGTTTGCCCTTCAACCTATAAAGGTAGAAGCACTGGATCTTGCTTGTTGTCGATTTAAAAGAGTGTGAGATAAGGGCATATGATTCAAAAGTAGATCTGTGTAGAACTCAAGCCATCCAACGGGCCGTGTAGCTGGTGGCAAAAATGATGCCCCTGTTGTTAAATGAATCTGGGTATATTGGCGATGGTCTACTTCTGAAAAGTGAGTGGCCAGTTATTCGTGTCATGGATGCACCCCAACAGTAGGCGGGTGAGTAATATTCCACCTAACCACATTGTCTTATGAAATGGATTTGTTGTACAATGAATCACAGCTTCTTAGCTATGTTTCAGGGGCGACTGTGGGATGTACATCCTCAAATACTGCGAATTTCTGACCTCGAATGTAGACCTGGCCAAGATTTACCATGACGCCATGCCCTTCTATCGGTTGAAGCTCGCTGTACAGTTGTTGCAGGGATATTGGTAGCTGTGATTCATTAGGAGATACTATAACTTGCAAAGTTTTTAACTGTGGGGTGTAGTGTAGTATATGAACTTGCAAAGTTAATTTAACCGGCTGGGCAATTTTGTTGGTAACAGACCTTATATTCACGAGTTACAAAACAAACATTTCTATAATATAAGGGAAGCTTGAAGAGCTTTCTTCGCATGCTTGAGCGCATCTTTCCCCTTTATATTTTAGTAAGGTTTTGAAAAGGTAGTTTTCTTGTTTGTTAAGGAACAAAGTCTTCTTTATGATCCAACTCCCCATTTTCACTTAAAATTAAAGAATTAGTTTTTATATTCTGTTCAAATACAAGCTGTATGAAACCCTCAACACATATTGTTGACAGTATGCTGAACCCAAACCCTAAATGGTGCATGATTCTTTTCAAATGTCGAATAAATAGTAATGTATCTTGTTTAGGGCAAACACGATTGTGAAGTTAAGATGCAGGCATATGAAATGTTGAAGTTTGTCATTGACTAATTGTGCTGAAGGCTTAATTATATTTGTACATTTCCAAACACGTCTTATATGTAGCTGTCCGGATTACAAAATTACAAAACATATACTTAAACCCAAAACATTTCTTACTTTTTCATCAATTTAACAGCCAAATTCAGAAATGATAGAACTAACAATAGTAGGAGGATTTTATTAATGCCCTTCAGTATATAGATTACTTCAGCATATGCATTAAGTACCTTCACATCCACCTGGTTTTGAATGTCAAATTCAGTTGGGGTGTTGGCTGCTATCACCCATTCATAGCCACTAAACCTTGTAGCTCCCTACAAAAAAAAACAAACAAAACTACATTTTTCAGTCTGGATTACAATGTCAGACCATATTCTTTTCTCTGGATCAGTTTTAGTTTGGGATTACTGTTTATTATATACAGCTTATTCAGTTTTACATACGAGGTTTGGGAAGATTATATTGACATATGTTGTGAAGCACTTCCAATACGGTCTGCCTAGATTCCTTTCGGAGTTGGAAATTAGCTTCACCATCTCAGCATTGCAGTGCCGACACCACTTTGCTTCAGTGTTTGATGAAGAAATCAACATCGCTTTGCCCAAAGTTGAAAATGAAGAAAATAGAAGACTTATACCCTTCCAATTATTTGGTCAAAACCCCCAAATTATTTTCTTCCAATTCTGAAAAGGAATTGAATTTTAATTTTTGGTCGAAACATATATGGATTTTGAAGTTTGAATTCGCCTTTTTTGGTCATGACAATTCGTGAGCGGGAAATTCCAAAGTTGAATTTTTTTTTAATTTTTTAACCCTAATGCATGAGCGGGAAAATAAAAAGCATTGTTGTGGAATTATTTTCTTCCAATTCTGAAAAGGAATTGAATTTTAATTTTTGGTCGAAACATATATGGATTTTGAAGTTTGAATTCGCCTTTTTTGGCCATGACAATTCGTGAGCGGGAAATTCCAAAGTTGAATTTTTTTTTAATTTTTTAACCCTAATGCATGAGCGGGAAAATAAAAAGCATTGTTGTGGGGAATTTTTAATAATTTTTTTACCCTAAACACTCCACAGTAAACCCTACACCGTAGCCTTAAAGGCGTTTATCAAATGAAAATATAAGTAAGACAAAAATTAAAAGGAAAACGGGCGTGTGGCGGCATGGGAATGCGTCGCGTGTCGCTGAGGTTTGCAGCTCCCCACTCCAGCTCCGCCACTTGGCATTCCGTGTGTATTTTATTCCTTTTTTATTTCAGAAAATCTTAAAAAATACAGGAAATTCAGAAAAAATGGGGGAAAATTCATAAGTATAAATCGGGATGAATACTTCGTACTAAAAGTACAATAACGGATTTTGGTGTGAGGGAAAAATAAAATTGGGGAACAAACCCTAGTGTTGGATGATGCAAATGAAAACACTAGTACACTTTTCAAACCCTAGACTCTTATTTGTTCGATCACATTAATTCCGTATGGATATTTATATGATGTGGCCTTTTTCCGGATATTTCAAGGAAGGAAATGTCATCACGAGTTCGGAGGATTTTTTCTAGAATTTTTCCCCCTTCAATTCGATTTTTAAATGAATATGTAATTGGAAATGAATAAAAAATTTGAAAAGGGACGTGTGACGGCACGGGAATGCGCCGCGTGTCATTGAAGTCTGCAACTCCCCACTCCAGCTCCACCACTTGGCATTTCGTGTGTATTTTATTTCTTCTTCTTTTTTTTTCCAGAAAATCTTAAAAAATACAAGAAATTCAGAAGAAATGAGGGAAAATTCCTAAGTATGTATCAGGATGAATACTTCGTACTGAAAGTACAATAACGGATTTTGGTGTGAGGGAAAAATAAAATTAGGGAACAAACCCCATTGTAGGATGATGCAAATGCAAACACTAGTACACTTTTCAAACCCTAGACTCTTATTTGTTCGATCACATTAATTCCGTATGGATATTTATATCATGCGGCTTTTTTTGGAATATTTCATGGAAGGAAATGTCGTCACGAGTTCGGAGGATTTTTTTTGGAATTTTTCCCCCTTCAATTCGATTTTTAAATGAATATTTAATTGGAAATGAATAAAAAATTTGAAAAGGGACGTGTGGCAGCATGGGAATGCGCTACGTGTCGCTGAGGTCTGCAGCTCCCCACTCCAGCTCCGCCACTTGGCATCTCATGTGTATTTTTTTTTTTCAGAAAATCATAAAAAATACAAGAAAATTCAGAAAAAATGGGGAAAATTCCTAAGTATGTATCGGGATGAATACTTCTACTGAAAGTACAATAACGGATTTTGGTATTCCGTGTGCATTTTATTCCCTTTTTTTTTCTTTTCAGAAAATCGTAAATAATACAGGAAAATTCATAAAAAATGGGGGAAAATTCCTAAGTATGTATCGGGATGAATACTCCGTTAGGAGTTTTGACTTATACTTCTCAAGGAGTTTCTGGTTAAATACGCTATTTAAATCCTTTTGTTAGTCAAAAGGGATTTCCAAATTATTGGATTGAAATTTTGTATTTTTGTTGTTGTTGCAACAATCGTAAACATTGCATGACAAATTCAGAATGTTAAGGGGAAAAACCCAACACTTATTTTCCCCCCTTAAATTCGATATTTAAATCATTATGTTAGTGAAAATAGAATTTTGGATTTCTTTATTAAACTATTTTTTATCTTTCAAATATAGTTTCAAATGCAGGACAAATAAGGAAATGTGGGGAAATTGAAAATGTTATTAAACGATCACCAGAGTATCTTAGAAGATCAAGGATGGCTCAGACCCGGTCTGACTGAAAGAATAATCCCTCATGCTTTGACAACACGCAAGCTCCCTGGCATTTGGGTGTCTGTCATCTTCAATGAATGACTGCTTCGGGAATCGGAACCAGCAATTCCTCATTTCAGAACACATAGTCAAACCATAGGACCCAAAACCATCCAAAACATATGCACACAAGCTACAAAGGTCTATGGAACACAACCGTCTACAAACGTGTACTAAATTGGATCTTAAAAGTGCACCGATTACAAAAACAGACCTTCAAACCATAAACATGACTTAAAACCACAAACGTCGGCAACCTTACCATAAACAGACCTTGAATTAAAAACATTAAACAGAAGGTAAACTTCCCCTGTAGATACCGTGTCAGAGTAGTCACCCGCCAAGTCCCATGAGAAATACCACTCCCGATTACCCTCACAGTTAATGCTGTTAAGAAAAAAAACTTCTGTCATCAGTTAGCTTTGCAAGAGTTGGAGGAGTCACCACGCCCGAAATTGTATACCTCATCAGTCAATTCATAATTGATGCCCTGCATGCTTGCATGTCAATTTTCTTCGTTTTTCTTAGATGGCACAACAATTCCATTGCATCATATTGTCCCTCCGTAGGAGTCACCAGCACTAGCAAGCCAACAGTGTAGGAGGATTCCATATGCCCTGCCTTAGCCGGCCCCCGGAAGTTGTTGACAACCTCATCAACTTCTCTGTAAATGATTTCTGGATTGTTGTGTTCCTTGCACTTTTGCAAGATCATGTATTATTGGCTTCGTTTCCCAACCGGTGTGACTGAAAGTACAGTTCACACACCTCGATGATCCAGGTTTTGGTGGCAAATTGGTCTTCTCGCGGCTCCATGCCTAGGTACACCTCGTGGGTGTTCACATTTATGATACTACTAATCAACGTTAGTAGTCAAAAAATTAAATATACTTTTTATGATAATGATTATGCAAATATCACATCACTACTTATGGAGGTAAAATTCGTTGCATTTTAACATGACCATGTGAATAATTTAACAGCCAAGTATGAAACTAAATATCATATCAACGCACCATTAACAGTAAAGAAAATGAAAACAGTGTTTATTACATCACCAGTTATGAAGGTAATCTGAATTTAACATTAGCAAGTAAACAATTTCTTCTTCTAAAATATTATACTTAATATGAACGCACCATTAACAGTACAGAAAATGAAAATAGTGTTTTATGATATCACCAGTTATAAAGGTAATCTGAATTTAACATGAGTAAGTAAACAATTTCATCTTCTGAAATATGATACTAAATATGAACTCATATCACCAGTAAAGAAACAAAACAATGTGCTTGTGGTACTTATAATGCAAATATCACATCACAAGTTGTGAAGGTAACTTACATTTGAACATGACCAAGTCAACAGTTTCATCTTCGCAAATATGATACTAAATACAAGCGGTAAAGAAAATTAAAATATCGTATATTATACAAATAATGCAAATATGACATCACTAGTTCTCAAGGTAACTAAAGTTGTAGCTTCCCACTCGAAATCAACATTGGCATTTTGGCGGGTAAAATGAAAATGAGGATTGCTCTATAAATACCAATGTAAGAGTATTTTACCATTGCACCTCCACTTGCTCCAAACAAGCCTAAACTCAGAATGGGTTTCCCTACAAAAATCCCCCCCATACTTATAACAACTCCAGCAAAAAATGCAGAACCTTTGTCATAGAGGAATAACAAAGCTGAAGATATTGTTGATGGAGCTGCGTAATCCATAAACTTTTCATCTGAGGACCACGATGATGTACCTCGGATCGGCAAGATGCGGTATGATGCGTTGATCATGGAAATCAAACGCCTGAAGATACGTCTAAGATGGTATCAAGAAACATTGGGGAAGGAGAAAAAGAAAGCGAAATTCCACCTTCGATCAATCCAAATAATGAAAGTGAGGGTTAGGCTTGCGAAAGGAAAAGGTGTTCGAAAGTTAAGTACTTCGAATGAGTCTGTTTAGATGAGGGAAGCAGAAGCACGCAAAGGGTTCAAGCTGTTCCGTGAGTTTGCAAGATGTGTTGTCCCAAGCTACAACTGGGACGGGATTGCCATGGAGTAAGCCATCGCTGGAGAAAGTTCATTTTGGGGGTTTTCAGTATTTTGTTCGGAACAAATGTGTGGTTCATTTTGAGTACGTTTTTTGGCATTTTTTCTGGGCTCCTGAAGGTGTAAAAACTCTAGTTTGAAGTGTTCTTACTTCTTAGGTAATGTATCCAACTGTAAGATGTGAAGGACAACTGTAAACAAATGGGGAAACTGTTTTGGGTTTTTTAAGCGTACTTTTGTCTACATAAATTGTTGTGCTTTTATGAAGTTTGTTTATATTATTTTCTAATCACATATTTCTTTGTGTTATTTTATAACGCCTAAAAGGCATGGAATAGAAACAACAGAGGTGGATTTGTTGATAATCCATGTATTTATGTCGCATAGTAATTAAGTAATGGAGGGTTGACTTTATCTCGTTCGTTTAGGGATGGCAATGGGTTGAATCGGGGGTGGGTATGCCATTTCCATGGCCCGCCCCATTAGGGAAGAAAAAACCAATTATATAACTATTCTGTTGAAAATAAAAAAGAGTAGTAAGACAACATAATGAATATATAGAATACATACTTAGAAGACAATATAACAATGTTTATATATATGTTGGAAGTTAACTAAATAAATAAGTAGTGTGGCTTAAGATTTGTATACAATATAATCTACTAATATAAAATATAAAACTTAGTCGATACTCTGTATGTTCATAGCATATTTATATATGAGGTAAATGCTCATGTGTGTTTCCATTTTGGGTCATTTGAATAAAATAATGCAGCTATGCAGAAAAATATATTAGTAAATACAGTGCTGAATAAATTTATTTGGAAGTCAGTTTTTGTTTCCCTCTTTTTTAAGTAATTGGGTGAGTTTTGAGGTTTGAGCATTTATTTGATCACTTATATGGTAGCTAATTATGTTTGTAACTTGGCGTTTTAGAGGTTTGTTTATTGGTTTCGAATATATAATTTTAGCAATGAAATAACAAGAACCATACTGTGTCTGTTAATTGAAAGGAGAAAATATAGAAATATTTTTCCGAACAATTATATATGCAGCAAATGAAACTAATACTTGTGTTCTTATAAATTAGATAATGAACACTAAGGAAGTATACTTCTAATTTTTGCAAAATATAATATTACGGTTCAAAGGAAAGCAAGATATCACCATATTCTAAAGATGGAGTGTTCACTCTGTATTGTCACATCATATGAAATTAAGTACGAAATTGAGTTTTCATAATCACTTTGGATGATTTATAGCTTCCCCTAGTTTTGTAATGGCACAAGGAGCTGGAAGCAATTTTCCGGGAAATTTTCCGATTTTTCTCCTATTTATTACCATTTTAAAAATCATTTTGCATTAAAAAATTTAAAACATAAAGAAATAACGCACATGGCGACTGCTGACCGCATCCCCCTTCAGTAGGTGCACACGTGTATGCCAGTGGCCATTGCCACATCCTTCCTTTCCGTGTGAATTTAAATGAATATTGCTATTTTCTTACAAAATTCATAACTAAATATACAAAATCGGGAAAAAATTTCGCAAATTGCTACGAACTCATTCAAACTTGATAAATTAAAATTCAAGTGTGTGCTAACATTTTTACTAATCATGTGAGGCTCCTGTGATTAACTAAATCAAATACCTTGATTACTTTTATATAAAATAAAAAAATTAAAGTGATGGGACAAAAGGAGAAAAAACAAAATGGAAATCTTCCGGACATAATATATAAACATTGTGTTATGCCTATGGGATACTCATGCCTTACATCTCTCTTCTTTCCAGTCGTCTTTTTTGCATACAAACCTTCAGCCGAATCCCCCAATCTGACGATTTTTTCAACATGTCCGCCAGTTCAAGCGCCAAAGTGAACTAGGGGGACTCCGATGGCTCATGGGAATATGCCCCTGATTATCCAAGGTCCCCTCCACCACCGCTGCCTCTTCCAACCTCCTCCACAAGCGAGGGGGACTCCGATGATCCCGCTATGGAAATAAATGATATGAAGAACAAACTGGAACACAACTCTTCCTTGGTCCATTATTGGACTCAAAAGTGTGTCGGAGCTGAGCAGAAGTTGGCTTATTTGACTTGGCATGTTAACAAAGCCTGTTACAGAAAAGAGAAGCAGAGAATTCGTGCCCAAAGAAGAAAGCACACAGTAGAGGATTTGCATATGACAGAGAAGGATGCTACTTACGAATCTTTGAGCATCCACAAATAAGTCGACAACCAAGGCCAGGCAATGTTTGTGGCTTTCAACGAAGGTTTTGAGAAATTCCGACGATTTGCTGCAGATGTCCACAAAGATATTGACTGGGTCGCCATAACCCTGTCTGCTACACAGGAAATCATCTCCAACGGTGCATACTCAACAGAGTGAGGCCACCAACCAGCAAAAGGCAACGATAATGACTAGTGATAGCCATATCAATCCGTAGGCAATCCTTTAGCAGTTGTTTGTTTTTGTTAATGCCTGATCTGGGTTAGTGTTTAAATGTGAATGCCCGATCTGGGTTACTGTTTTAATGTTAATGCCCGATCTTGCTTATGTGCAGCTTATTATTTCGTTTTACATTGCTATCAAACCTAGAGTTCAATCACAGTTTGATCACTAACTTCCAGATTAGAAGCGTTCATTTCGTAATAATGCTCACAATTTTTTGTTTAATTCATTGTCGGTGGGGAGACAATTTGTTTCAAGATTCTCTGACACAGATATTCGTTGGTTGAGACTTTACAGAGACATAGTGATTGTTTCAAGATTCTCTTACTGACACATAGTCATGGTTTCAAGATTCCCTTGGATATTTTCATATTCATTGCAACCATTGCAAATTTGTGTAGAAAACCCCTTCCATGATTCCCCCAAACTCATTCTCCTTCAAACAAGGACTTCAGGTTCTGAAAATCCCAAATCCCCAGAGGACATTCGGGACATCCACCTTCAACAAAAGATGGATCCGAAACATCGAGTTATGCATTGAAAGCATGGTGCCGTTCAAGACCAAAAAAGATGTAAATAGGTATCAATAAATGTTAAAACTTCGGGACCATAAATGAAATCAAACTCTTCTAGATAGTTATATGTTTAATAAACCATAGTTCAGTATCTATGGACATGAGGCATTTGCCTAAGATTCACTAACGCTTCCAGATACTTTCAAAAATGATGTAAATAAGTATCAATAAGTGTTCGAACTCTGAGACCATACATGAAATCAAACTCTTGCATAAATGACTCTATCATAGTAGGTTCACTGTCTTGCGTGCTCTGAGTGGGCTGCAAATTCTCACCAACTGGACCACCAAATTTTGTGTTGGAAGATGAAGAGCTGCCACATCGGAAAAAAATAATAATAAACATCAACAACATAAATTTCAAAGAACAATATAATACATATTCACTTACAGGCTCGCAAGTTTTGGACAACTCCGTCTATCATGATCAGTCTTCCTACATTCAGTGCACCAACGTTTATGTCGTTGCACTGCGTTCTCTTTTTCTTCTTTAACTCTTTTCGCACGCCCTTTTACTTTCACTCGATGTGGATCTTTGATTCTGAGTTGGGGATAACTTGTTCCGACATCTCCATTGGGTTCCTCGACATGAGCTCTTGATGACACCAATCTTGTAAGCTTCCCACGAATGTCCTCAAAAGATTTTTCCAGCAACTCAAAACCTTCATCACACAACAAAGCCGAATCAATTAAATCACTTGCAACTTTGCAAACTTTCGATCTCTTAACCAAAAGTAAACCATCAACGCAATCGTTAACTTCTTTGTGACAGGACCCGCCCCGAATTTCTCGAAACCTGGGACGAATCCTGTGGAATTCCCGACATCATCCCGATGTCGGGCCCACTCACTAAAACTGTAACCACCTTTTCCAAAAGAAGTAGGGGCACGAGACTTTCTGCCGAAATTTCGGCAGAGTTTCCCTTATACATTGAACATTTCCCAAAAATTTCAACCTGCATAAAAACACATTTAATATCCCAACAGGCAGCACGCACAATATAATTTCATGCAATTCACATAAATGGCCTCCAGCCTTCAAATGATTCGAAACAAAATTGCCAGCAATGTTCTTAAATCAAATTAATGCATATAACAATCTCAAACTTATTTATGAACGCCTACTGTAATCAACATAGAATAAAGTTTAGCCCGTGGCTGCACCTAGGCACTACCCTAGGCTGCCTACGTACCCTTACAAAGGGATCAAGCCACACATAGTTCTTTCCTAAAACCATTTTTCTTTAAATCACAACTCAACAATCACAATCTTTAATTTATCTCCCAAAATCTCCCTATACGTCGGAACATCCAAGGCCACGTATAGGGCCTATCAGCACGCCGGATAATCCTACGACACGTTATCTCCCCATATGCCGGTACTACCAACGCCGCATATGGGGTCTGTCAACACGCCGGCTACTCCTACGACACGTGCGACCTCACAAGCTTATCACAATATCTCCCCATATGCCGGTAACACCAACGCCACATATGGGGTCTGTCAACACGCTCCGTCGTTCATTTTCGAAGTATCCGGGACTCCGTTCCACGATCCGTCGAATCCTACACTATCCTAGGAATGTCTAGATTGACATATATTAAATTAACGATGATCCAACGGTTCAAACCTATCGAACCCGGATAACACACAATATGAGATGTCCAATCGACGATCAAACGATATCCAAATTGAAATCCGAGCACTCCTACGCGCTCATGAGAACCTGGAGATTACATCGGGACACAATGCCCTTTTTCTACAGTGCCCATGCGCCGCCACACGCGCTGGCAGCGCGTGGGTGTCCAAAGCGATTCGCATCGCCGGAAAATCTCCAAATCACGGCTCAAGACTCCTACCCTAGGTATAACACCCTATTTGGAACCACTTTAGTTCTTGGACCTAACCCAAAAAGTGACCAGAAGTGGCCGGGATCTCATCCCGAAATCCGGCCAAATCTTGGGTTACAAATCGAGTTGCCTACGCTAGAAATTGATCAATTCCAACCCAACAGACAGCTAGATCATGGAAAATACGTGAGAAAGCATACCTCACTCGCCTGAATCGGTGGCCGAAGGAGGGAGAACGAGCCGACGAAAGTTCACGAAAAAGTTGTCCAACACCGCTTGTTTCTTGGCTGTTTCCGGGGACTACGACAGCGGATTGAGGAGGAGAAAGGCTGGAAGAGGGAAGTGTGGCAGTTCTAACGGAACCGTTATTGCTTGAATTGGTGGCCGGAATTGGGAGAAATCGCCCCTTGAAGATGGCTGGTCAAGCTGCTCCCAAACTGAAGAAATTCTGGGTTTTTAAAAACTGAACTTCTAAATATTTACGGTTATGCCACTGAACTTCTTTTGATCGCCATTTCTTCGTTACAATTCCGATTCAAGCCCACTACGTGTCTACGGACACATCTCACCGTGCTCTACGCAACAGTATAGTCAAAATTCCCAAATTCCCTCCTGGTCAAAAAGTTAACTTTAAACCTAATAAAATATTCTATGGGCAAAATGGTCTTTTATCTGAATAAATTAATATTTACCAATTTATTTAAGACCGGGTCGTTACACTTTGCGATTCTTATCTTATATTACATCGTTTTTCGCACTTTGAAGCCATCGTTTCAATATGTACTTGTCTGGCAAGTGCTCAACCTGCTTCATTCTTAAGAATGCTACACAGAATACCCTAAAATTCAAATCCTTTGCAGGTGCAATAAGCTTTATCGGCATCTTTATCATGCACAAGCTCCTTCATCCGTGTCACCCCCGGATTTACCGGCTCACTTTGTATCTGCAGTGCGTCTCATCTTGCTCTACAAGTTCGAACAAGCATAAAAGACTTCTGAAGTCTTCCTTCTCAAACATTTCCAGAATTTTCCGAGTGTAAATGAGTCCCATTTGATGTTGCATTGGTGTTTGAAATGGCAGTGGAGGTTTTTCATTGTTATCAACATGATCAGCCATTAACTCCTTGTGTCTTTATGAAGCAAGAGCTCTCTCAAAACGTACAATGAATTCCATCAATGTGTTTTTTCCGGTTAATATATTGTTTGAAAAATGAATGACAGCTTTCGGCCCGTTGACTACTTGACATCTTAGCCGAAAACACATGTTTTACATATGATAGAACCCAATTCTCCCGCATAGCATGAATTGAGCTCAGCCATGCATGGTCTTGCAGCCCATTGTTTGTGATGATTTCCTCTCATTTCGCATCAAATTCTTCTTTCTTGTCCATACCCTATATGCATTTTACACATTTCCAGAAAACATTCTCCAATGCCGGGTTTCTCTATAATCTTATTCAAGATATGCCATATGCAATATCTATGGAATGTTGTCGAGAGAGTTACAGCAATTGCCTTTGACATGGCTGTATCTTGATCAGTGATAATTATTTTGGGTGGCTCACCCGGCATGGCTTTCTTGAATTCCTCAAACAACCATACAAATGAATTCGTGGTTTCACTAGTTAGGAATATACAACCAAACAACACTGTCTGCCGATGGTTATTAACGCCTAACAAAGGCACAAAGACCATTCCATAGCAGTTCGTGTTGAACATCATATCAAATACCACCACATCTCCAAAAAAACCCATAAGCTCGTCTTGACCTTACATCTGACCAGAAAACATTACCCATCCTTCCTTCCGAATCTCCTCCATCTTGAAATAAAAGGATTCATTCTTTTCTTGCATAGCCACAAAATGCTCCTTAAGCAGCTCTGCATTATGGCCAATCACCTCTCCATGCACGTCCCTTAGATAATTATAGACATCTCTCTTAACAAACCCAACATTTTCCAATCCCCCTACTTGCACCTCAAGAAGGCTTAACTATTTATGTACCGGAATATTAACTTTGCTCATATCTGCACTATAGACCTTTGTAGACTCTGTTAAGTTACGGTGAGATCTCAATAGATGAACTTTATCAACTGTGGTCATGTCATGGTTGTGTACCTCATTGAATCCTACAACAATATACTTATTCTTGGCTTTCACCTTCAATATCGCAAGTTTAACCTTGCAACTAGTTCGAGTACAACCTCGCCGTCTTCTCTTACGACTAATAGGGATTGTCAACGCATACCCCTGTTTACAACATACATATTCCTTCCTTGTTACCTCTCCTGTCAGTGTGCACGTCCTCGTTGTAGAGCACCAAATGCCGAATCCGGCTTCCACAGCATACATATTATAGAAATTGAACACATCGTCACAGCAATCAAATTCAAGTCCCAATTTTGATTTCAACTTTGACCTTACTTCCGGTGTCACCTGTCCTTCGCACTCTATTTCACAGTTCTTGCAATTTAACCCTGAATTCACCACCATCATACCAACATTGGCACATGCTTTCAAAGAGCTTTAAAATATATATATTAACTAACATATGACATGAAAATGATTCCCTGGTGAAATATTAAAGACTTACATACAAACTAATGTAACTCATGCTTATACCCAATAATAAACTTGACAAATACAGTATAAAGAGCTTCAAAATATATATATTAACTAACATATGATATGAAAATGACTCTCTGGTGAAATATTAAAGACCTACATACAAAATGATGTAACTCATGCTTATGCCCAATAATAAACTTGACAAATACAGTATAAAGAGCTTTAAAATATATATATGTTAACTAACATTTGATATGAAAATGATTCTTTGGTGAAATATTAAAGACCTACATACAAACTAATGCAACTCATGCTTATGCCCAATAATAAACTTGACAAATACAGTATATCACTTACCTCGTGAGTCATTTCCAATTTCAAAATTTCTACAAATATGACAATGTTGCCCTTTTAGATCTGGACGTCAACCCCAAACACTTTTCTTCTTCCTCAACCCCTGTTTCGACCGTGCTTAACGATTTCAAAACCAAGAGAACAGCACAACGGTCGTGGTCACCAGTTTCCAACTCAAGACGTTGCTCAAGGATTGACGAATGTTCCAACCAGAAAGACCGAGCCACAAAGATGATAATATAAAATACACGAACACTATCTTTCGCCTAAATGAGAAACCCAGAAAAATGAGGGCTATACTTCTGTGTTCTTCCTGGAAAGCGCTCTCTCTTTAGTGCTATTGGTCTTGCTCAATCAAAGCTGATAAAAAAATTGGCCACTTAGTTTAACAAACCAAACAGCTGGATTGGAGGGGACGTCTGTTTTCGACTCAACGTTTTGGAAGGAGGAGAGAGAAGAAGGCCTCGTTTTAATACAACACTTACACATACAATTGCTTTTGATGCAACCGTTAGATTAGATCCAACAGTGTTCTCACGTAACGTTCGCACATAAGCATTCTCACCTGATCCAAACCGAATAAAAAAGCATCTCCAATGGCAGAATTTTTGGTCTCTATATCATAAAACTGGCCAGAAATAACCCTAAATCTGTAAACTTGCATAGAGCCTTAGAGCCCCAATGGGCCCTAAAGGACTCACTATAGAATGGCTCCTCCACTTGATGTTAATAGTGGGATGTATAAACCCTAACCCACTAGGTGTTGCATCCGGAACCACCCAAAATGAGTTTGTGGGTCCGAGTTGGATTTTCCTGGGAGTTGGTTGAGGTCCAGGCCCCGTAGAAACTAAATATTGGCCTTTTGGATGGTCTCTTTTGTCATGTCTTTTCGTACAGTTCGTGTAAATTCATACCATATTAGTGTAGATTGGTTTCCTTCGATTGTCTTCAAACCTATGTAATGGTAAATTCTTATTTGCTCATGAACATTACTTATTCTTCACTATACTTATAATGCAAGAAGAAGAGAAAAAAATAAATAAATAAACAAATTGGGTAGTACAGTGATTAACCTCAATCAATATATTTCGAATTACTATGTCTATTACGTACAGTTATGGATATCTCTTGTCATAATTGATTGGCATATATAGCTGTAGCCTGTATATGCATGTCCCCTCATGGGGTTGATATCCGTTGTCCTTAAATTTCATATACCCTTTATAGCAGGGGCGGATCTTAAGCCATGGCAGGGTAGGCGGTTAAGCCATGGCAGGGTAGGCTACCGCCTACCCAAAAATATTTCACTAAAAAAAAACCTATATATAAGCTATGTAATTGATATCTATTCCATGTGTTGGTATACACTCTTGCCTACCCAATCCATATAAAATCCACAACACAAGCCCACTCAAACTTTAAAAAACTGAAAAAAAAATTATAACCAGCCAGCCCATGTTATGAAT